GTGTGACCCTGGGCAATTCACAACTCTGTTTGCCTCCATTTCTTTGTCTGTAAAATGAGTTGAAGAATGAAATGGCAAATTACTCTAGTATCTCTGCCAAGAAAACTCCAAATGGGGTCACAAAGAGTCAGGTATGACAGAAAAACCACTCAAAAACAACAATAACACAGTATAAACAAAACAGGAATAAATACTAATGTATACAAAGTTAAATACAGGGTAGTGTTTAAGGGATGAAAACAGCAGTTGGGTGGCATTTTTTTTTAAGATAAAACTGCAAATGTTTATTCCCAGGAAATCACACTAAACCAACTTAATGGTATATGTAGAAATTTAGAATTCTACTACACATTTGACTTCAGAAGAGTAGCAGAGTGGGTATGGAGGGAGTATTTCCACAAAACTGTTCCTTTTTCTACCGTATGACAGTATCTTCACTCTCTTCACCCTGGAAAGAGCTAAACACATTTGAACCTAAGATGTTTAGGATACTAAGCTAAAATTAACAACAAAACCAAATTAGATATTTATTTCAAAGTTACAAAGGTTTGAAAATAACTCAAATTCTGTTCCTCATAATGTAAAAATAAATATCTGAAGTTTAGGAATCGTGATAAGAATAAGATGAATGTGAAACTGAGGGTGAATCAATGTAATAAAATATAATAGGGATTTTGAATGAAAATATAACAGTCCTTCCTACTTCGTGCAAAAAGATGATGTTTGAACTGGGTCTTAAAGGAAGAAAGGGACTTTGACGTACAGGTATAAATGGACTGTGTTCTATCCATGTGGGCTCTCTCAAGAATTACTGGGTTCCTCCTCAACAGAAGTCTTCACGTTGTTGTGCCTGGAATTCATTTTGATGGTAGAGAGTCAATAAGGTCTCTTCTAGATCTTAAATTCATTGATTTTGTCAAGGAATAGAAAGCTTCATTTGTTAAGAAGATAAGGAGCTCTATCATGAAAATGACACCTGCTACAAGCTGATGTGAATGAATAATACAGAAAAAGAATTTTAGTGGGTGGTAGGAAAAGTCTCTCTATACAAATAACAGGGAAATATTGTTACCCTTTTCTTTTCCAACTTTGTACTTTATGAGATAGTGAAATGTGATGTCCCCATTTCAGCCTCATTGATCACCCATGAGGCAGAAAGCTACATATTGGGCATAGGTACACTTTTCACTCTGGCTCTTCCAGGGTTATGTTTCCCAACCCTGATACTCAAGAAACCTAGTAATCCAGTGACTTAATTTTCCTTCAAGCTAGAGTTTCTGTTCTCAATTAATTATTCTTCTGCCAAGATTTCAATTGCTTTGGGGGTATCCCTTTGGGTGAGTCCCTGGGAAGGTCCTTTATTGTTATGTCAGCATCTCTGACAAGGTCAATTCTGAGAGTACTCTCCTAATACTTAACTTTTATAACTAGGCCCACAAACACACAAAGACTGAGTAGCGAAGTTTTTTGAGAGGTGAGACAACTCATGGTCAAAAGTTAGACCACTCAAACATTCTGATATGTTTCTCAGAATTTCCTTTTGCCCTGGTTCTTTCTATTGGGTTAGCTGTTAACAAAATCATTGACTTGACTGACCTTTAAAATGACTAGTTAAAGAAACTGAGGATATTTAGCCTAAAGAAGAGAAAAATTAGAAACTGTGGTAGCCATCTTTAAATATTTGAAGGAATATTGTGTTGGAAGAAGGATTAGGCTTGTCCTTTTTATCCCCAGAGGATAGGGCTAGGATCAGTAGTTTGAAATTGTAGAGAAGCAGATTTTAAGTTTGTATAAGAGCAAACTTCTAATAATTGGAGCTATCCAAAAATAGATGAGGAATTCACTAACATCTCAGGAATTAGCTTCTAATCACTGCAGATATTCAAGTAGAAACTGAATGACCATTTGTTAGGGATATTGAAGAGAGAATTCCTGTTTAACTATGGGTTATTCTAAATAAAAAAGTAAATACGACATCCTTTTCCATTAACAAAATTTTTGAAATATTATAGACTATGCATGAAATTGTTCTAAATTTGCCTCTGGGCCAGGAACTCCATCTTTAAAGAAAAAAAGGGTTCTCTAGTATGTTTCAGCCCGTACTTAGTTTTCCTCCCAATTCCCACCCCACAGATGAGAGATAGTGATTTGGATGGAACCACAGAGGCTTGGCTTGTGGTTAAATGTCTCCGTTCTTCCTAACTGCTACTGATAGCTAGGTTTAACTAATTTAATAGAATACTTTTTAGTGTGAGGTTGATATGGCAGCATTATTCCTTTTCTCTGAATTGGGGGTCAGGGGAGAGATAATTGGAGAAAGAGTGAAAGTGATGAAGAGGACAGAGGTTCTGTGCGTCTTTCTAGAATAAAGGGAATTTGGGAAAGTATAGTTCCCAGGCATAGCCACAGAGTGATGAAAGAACTCTGTTCAATATAAAATGACAGGTTCTCTCCTTAGTTCACTGAAAAAACTAACTGTCTTTGGGAGCCAGAAATCTCTCAAATTTAGCTCTCTCTAGGCAAGTAGGTGGGATAGTGAGTAACAGCACTGGCCTTGGAGTCAGGAAGACCCATGTTCAAATCTGATCTCAGACACTTGCTGGCAATGTGACCCTGGGTAAGTCATTTAAACCTCTTAAAGTCTCAGTTTTCTTATCTGTACAATGAGGGTTATAACAGTACCTACCTCAGAAGGTTGTTCTAAGAATCAGATGAGATAATGTGTGCACAGCACTTTGCCAATCTTAAAGCTCTTTGTTGTTGTTCAGTTGTTTTTCTGTCATGTCCAACTCTTTATGACTCCATTTGAGGTTTTTCTTGGCAAAGATACTAGAGTGGTTTGCCATCTCCTTCTCCAGCTCATTTTACATATGAGGAAACTGATGCAAACAGAGTTAAGTGATTTGCCCCAGTTCAAAGAGCTATTAAGTGTCTAAGGCCAGACTTGAACTCAGGAAGATGAGTCTTTCTGACTCCAGGCCCAACTCTCTATCCACTGTGCCACCCAGCTACCCCCATGAAGCTCTTTATAAATGTTTGTTATTATTATTTGGAGAACTGCATGTTTGGAAAGTTGGATATTACTTACCTCTGGTGGCATTAGGCCATAGTGGAGGTTTCTCTTGGTCCTGGGAGTGATTGGACACTGATGCCCCTAACCTATGAACTTCTTTTCATATGTCCCATCTGGTTGAGGCCCTACCATCTCCAACCCACGTTTCCTTCCTCAAATTCCAGTCTCAGGAGTCCCATGATGTGTCTTAGCCTGGATCCCACAGTCTCCAAAGCAAGTTCTGGTAACCACTGCTGTTAAAGATGACTTATGCAAAAAGCCAGAAACCATGTGTTCATCTTTATATCTTTCTTTTGTTGATGAAAGTGTTTAGAGATAATACATTTTCCCCTAAGAATGCCACAATACATAGTCTGGTGTTGTGTTTTGTTTTGTTTTTAAGGTACCGTATACAGCTTAGATATGTGTAAAAATATATGTGTAAATGCATTTCTATTCCTATTCAGTCACTGCCAACATCAAACATAAAACCCTCCGTTTGGCATTCAAACCCCTTTACAACCAAACACACGAATCTTCTTACACCCTGCCCCCTTCCCAACCTACTCCATCATCTGACAACACTGGCCTCTGCTTTTTCTTGAATAAGACACATCATCTTCTGACACCAGGCGTTTTCACTGCCTACCCCATGCCTAGAATTCTCTCCCTCCTCATCTCTGTCTCTTGGCGTCTCTGGCTTCCTTCAAGGCCTTGGGTAAGTGACTTAATCTCTGTTTGCCTCACTTTCCTCAAATATAAAATGAAGATAATAACAGCACCTGCCTTCCAGAGTCATTGTGAGATCAAATTAGATAGTATATGTAAAAAACAATGCCTGGAGCAGCTAGGTGGTACAGTGGACAGAGCACCGGCCTTGGAGTCAGGAGGACCTGACATCAAATCCAGCCTCAGATACTTACCTGCTATGTGACCTTAGGCACGTAATAGCCGTGTGACCCTGGACAAGTCATTTAACCTCTGTGTACCCCAGTTTCCTCAGCTGTGAAATAAGGGCACCTATTTCCCAGAGTTGTTGTGGGGATTAAATGCGATAATAATTGTAAAGTACTAAGCACAGTGTCTGGTGCTATACATATATATATCTATATATCTATCTATAGATATATAGATATATAGATATAGATATATAGATATATAGATATATAGATATATCTATATCTATAGATATCTACATATCTATAGATATAGATATAAGTGCTATATAAATGTTAGCTATTACTCTCAAATTTGGTCTCAGGCAGCTGTGTAACCCTAGGCAAGTCATTTAACCTCTCTGTGCCTCAGTTTCCTCAACTGTAAAATGGGGATTATGATAGCACTTTCCTCTCAAAGTTGCTGTATCAAATGAGATATGTGTAAGGGCTGTAGTGTACTGTCTAGCATGTAGTAGGTGCTATGTAAATGCTTTCTTCCTTTCCTCTCTTCCCATGCTTCTCCATAGTCTTCTTATGCATTGTTTCCTAAAGCACAGTACTATTCCATTACATTCATATACCAAAATTTGTCAACTCTTCTTCAATAAGTGGCCTTCTATTTAGTTTCTATTTTTTGCAACCGCAAAGAAGTATATAGCTTTGATTATTTTGGTGAATATGGGATTTTTCTAGTTTAGTTCTCCGTGGGATATGTACCTCCAAGTACGATCTCTGAGTCAGACTTACAAACATTTTACCTACTTGTTAAGCAAAATTCTAATTACTTTCTGGAACGGTTGGACAAATTCATGACTCCACCAACATTCTGGTAGTGTATGCCTGTCTCTCCACAACCCCTTCCGCATTGACTTTCCCCTTGTCACCTTTGCCAGTCTTATGGGTAGAGTCAACATGACCTTGTAAAGAGTGTTCAGGAGCCTCTCTAGTGCTATGTTTGTCTCCACTTTCCTCACCATTTGGCAAAGCTGTTGCCTCTTTTTCCTTTTCAGATAAACTGTGTGACTTTCCCACATCCCGATACAATGCCAGAGCAGCAGCTGTTGAAGCCCACTGAATGGAGCTACTGTGATTACTTCTGGGTAAGTGACCCAAACTTCGCTCTGTCCAAAGTCTATCTCCCAGTGAATGAATGCATGCATGCACGAATGCATGAATGAATTAATGAATGAATGAAAAATTATTAACTGCTTACTCTGTACTGTGCAGCTGGATTTACAAATATAAGCAAGCAAAATAGTTCTTGGCCTCAAAGAGCTTTTGTTTTAATTGAGGAAGACCATACAAATATGGCCTGGCAGTCAGGGAAGAGTTTTTAAAATGGAAAGTGATAGGGAACGGTAATTAAAGTCATGGAGTAATTGATTGACTTGTCCTTTCTAAGAATGGTAGTATTGATTAGATTACTATTCTCAGAGCTAGAGTTGGGGAAACCATAGAGAAGATGATTGACACATATCCTTTCTAGTAGCTGTGGCATATTGATTTGATTACAGTTCTCTGAAGAGGAAATCTAAATGGAGAGAGAAGATGGGAAATTGTGTGAATAAGGTAGATAGCAGAAGGTAAGGGGAATGGAGATGAAGGCAACAAATAAAAGAATAGAGCAGGCTAAAAATAGCAGGTCATCTAAGTTTGTCCTTGCAAATTCACCCATCAGGACAGGGGATCCGAAAATGGTAGTTCTAAAATCGAGTGAATTAATTTTCCCAGGGCATGGTTTCTGGTGATCTGGTGATGCCAGGGGTTACAGTGGGATCAATGGCAAGAATATGCCTGGGATAGAGTGTGAAGCATACCTGGGACTGACCATTTCCTGGACAAGGCATTCCGTCTCCCACCTATGTTTTTGCATAGGCTATGCCCTGTGCCTAGAATGTACTACCTTCTCACTTCCATTTCACTGAATCCCACACTTCAGCTAGACGCTAGAGCTCAGCTCCAGTGTTTCCTTCTATAGGAATCTTGTCTTAATCCTCCACATTCCCCATTGCTAGTGTCCTCACCAACGAAATGTTTTTGTCTATGCTTCATATTTAATGTAAGATATACACTGAGCAACAGAGGCCTGGGTTGGCCAGACTGCAGGTATATATTTAGCTGTATTATATCTAACGTAATTTCCACCTTTGGACAGAGCAAGGAGCAAGGCCATGGTTGGGATCTCATTCCTCTACTTTCCTATCTCTGTAAGGAGTATTATGCTAGAATTATATTTATCTACAACACATCAGACAGTCTACGGTTATGATGCTCTTTTAGGTGTTCAGGATAATAGCTAATATCCCCAGTGGTACAAGGTAGAAAGTATTCCCACTCCAGGCTGGAAGGATAAGAGTTAGCTTACATCCCTTCTACCAAATGTTTGTTACACAAATGATAAGCACGGATAGCAAGCAAACATTTACCAAAGCAAATAGTAAAACTTTACTTAATCCATTACGTGACTGCTTCCTACCTTTCCAATCTTTTTTCCCTTGACTCTGTAATCAAGTAACACTGGCCTCCTTTCTGTTCCTCACGTTAGACGCTTCATCTCCCTGTGCCAAGCATTTTCTCTTGGTGTCCTCCAGGCCTGTAATAACCCTCCCTCATATTCACCTCCTAAAGAGTCTCAGCCAAAATCCTACCTTCTGCAGGAAGCATTTCCCAATCTCTTTTAATGCTAATGCCTTCCCTCTGTTGATTATCTCTAATTTATATTATATATTTCTCGTTTGTACAGAGTCACTTTCACATTGTCTCTCCAATAAGACTGTGAGCTCCTTGAGATCAGGAACTGTTTTTTACCTTTATTTGTGCTTAGCCTAGTACTAGCAAATAGTAGACACTTAATAAATGCTTGTCAACTTGACTTATTGACTTAAATAGAAAATTATTGTTTCAATTAACTTTTTAGTTGCATCTTTGAGATTTTCCAAGTATATCATAATATTGTGTACAAAAAAGAGATGGTTTTATTACCTCAGTCCCCACTCCGATTCCTTCTATTTCATTTTCTTCTCTTATGGCTAATGCTAGAATTCCCAGTACAATATTGGATAATATTGGTGATGGTGGGCATCCTTGTTTCACACCTGATCTTACTGGGAAGCTCATCCCCATTACAAATAAAACTTGCTGATGGTTTTAGAGAAATGCTTTTTATCAATTTAAGGAAAAATCCACTTATACTTTCAAGTGTTTTTAATAGAAATGAGTGTTGTACTTTATAAAAAGCTTTTTCTGCATCTATTTATATGATCATGTGATTTTAAAAAAACTTTTACTACTGATATAATCAGTTGTGTTAATAGTTCTCCTTATGTTAAAGCATCCCTGCATTTCTAGTTTAAATTTCACTTGGTCATATAATATATAATCTGTATAATATATGGTTTTAATCTTATAGCAAGTATTTTATTTAGGATTTTTGCATCCATGTTTATTAATGAAATTGGTCTATAATTTTTTTTCTCTGTTTTTACTCTTTGTGGGTTAGGTATCAGTATCATATTTGTTTCATAAAAGAAGTTTGGTAGGATCTCTTCTTTGCCTGTTATTCCAAATTATTTAACACTGGAATTAGTTGATCTTTAAATATTTGATAGAATTCACTTGTAAATCCATCTGGTCCTGATAGCTGCTATGGTATAAAAGAAGAGCTGGGTCCATATTCAGAGGAAGATAGGTTTTAAAAAAAAAAACCACTCGCATCCCAAAGAGTAATATCAAATGGTCACAAGCCCAAAAAGAATTTTTGGAAGGACTTCAAAAATCAAATAAGAGAGATTGATGAAAAAGTTAAGAAAAAAATAAAAGCAATCCAAGAAAATTATGGAAAGAAAGTTAACCAATTGGAAAAAGAGGTCTTAAATTTTAAGGAAGAGAACAACTCCTTAAAAACTAGAATTGGGCAAGGGGTATCAAATGATGTTATAAGACACCAAGAAATAATAAAACTAGAAAAAATAGAGAATCTAAAACATCTCATTAAAAAAAAACAACTGATCTGGAGAACAGATGAAGGAGAGACAATATAAGATTTACTGGACTATCTGAAAATCACGATTTTAAAAAAAAAGAATCTTGATACAGTATTATAAGAAATTATTAAGGAAAATTGCCCTAAAGTTCTAGAACAACAGGGTGAAGTAGAAATAGAAAAAAAATATGAAAGAAATCTCAGGGGAAAAACTTACAGGAATTGATGTTCTTGTAAATAGCCAAGATTCAAAATTCCCAGGTTAAGGAGAAAATATTGCTAGCAAGAAGAAAAAAAAAACAATTTAAATACTGAAGAGACATGATCAAGATTTCACAAGACCTACCAGCTTCTACACTAAAAGACTGTAGTGTAGGTCTTAGAACATTATATATCTAAGAGCAAAAGAGCTGGGGTTGCGGCCAAGAATAACTTGCCCAGCAAAGTTGAGTATAATCCTGAATGGAGAAAAAAAATGAGCATTTAATGAACTGAAAGACTTTTGGATATTTGTGACAATTGATATATAAGATCCAGAAGAAATGTAAGGAAAACATTAAAGGAATTAAAATCAAACTATTTACTTCTTATATATGAAAATGTTATTAGTATTCTTAAGACTGTCACCATTATTAATATAATTTGAAAGAAAGTTTGAGACTGAGTTGAGTATGATGGAGTTCTGAAAAGCAAAATTGGGTAAGAAAAAGTAAAAAGGAGTAATGATCTCATACAAAAGGGGTGTGAAAGGAAGAAATGATAGAAAGGAAACAGATGGGGGTAGAGGGATGGTAGTGCTGAAAGCTTACTCTCATCAGATCTGGGTTAAAGAGGGAACAATGTGTACATCTGAAAGGGTATAAAAGTCTTTTCAACTTATAAAGAAATAAGGCCTAGGGGATAGGATAAGGGAGGGACTATTAGAAGGGTGTATAGACACTTACTGTGTAACCCTAGGCAAGTAAAGGGTTATAATAGCATCTCCCTCCCAAGGTTGTTGTGAAGATAAAAGGAGATGGCATTTGTAAAGTATTCTGTAAATGTTAAAGCTATGTAAATGCTGCTACTACTGCAACTGATGATATACACCATACATAGTCCTTCAGGAAACCACCCGTGCCTGCTTGGGCAGGAGTGTTCCATTAGTTAGTTTTCCCATGTACACATTTTTTTCTCTAGCTCTTCCCCCCAGTAGATAAATGCTCCTTGAGGTCAGGGACTGTTTTGTTTTTAAATTTTACAGTATAAGCAGAGATAAACAAGGAAAATGTGTTATGCTTAAAGGAACCAAATAGACAATGAACCAATATCAATATTAAACTTATGTGCCCCAAATGTCATAGCACATAAATTCATAAGAGAAAAAATACTGAATTGCAAAAAGACATAGATTGTAATACAATAGTAGGAAACTTTAATGTTCTCTCAAAATTGGACAAAGCTGACAAAAATAATAAAAGGGAAAATATAAGATTGGGGGAAAAAGTTGGAGAATTTAGCTGCCTTCTGAATGGGACCCCTTAAGAAAATGAATATTTCTTAGCACCACATTGCCCTTTTACGGAAACTGACAACATATTAGGCTACAGAGAAATTGCAGATAAATGTAAAAAGGCAAAAGTACTAACCACATTCTTTATAGACCGTAACAAAATAATAATAGTGATCAATTCAGAGAACACTGAAAAAGATACTGGAAGCCTAATGATGAAATTCCAAATAACAAGTGAGTTAAACAAAAAAAAAAAATCACAGAAACAAATAATAATTATGTGAAAGACAATGATGATGATGAGATAGCATGTCAGAATTTTTGCGATGAAGCTATGCAGTCCTAAGAAGAAAAATTATCCCAAATTTGCACATTATATTTAAAACACATAGTAAATGCTTAATAATTTTTTTTTATATTTAGCAACATATTAACAAAAGAAAGGATTAATTGATTACACATTTTAATAAACTAACTCAATAAGTACGAAAGAGAAAATCTTGAAATTTATAGGAAGAATAAATTGGAAAGCAAAAAGACTGAAGAAATGATAAATCAGACTAAAAGCTGATTCTCTAAAAAGACTAAAAAAAATTTAACCAACCTGATTAAGAGAAACAAAAGAATTTGTTCATTCAACAAATGAAAAAGGTGAAATCACAACAAAACTAGAAGAAATAAAAATAATTATCAGGCCCTACTATGCATAGTTATATGCCAACAAAAGAGATCACAAAAGAAATAGGGAATTACTATCAAAAATATAAAATACCCAAACTAACAGAACATCAAATAGAGATACCTTGATATCTCTATTTGATATTTTGTTAGATATTAAATTATTGAATTTAGAAAAGGAAATAGAATTAGCTGTAAAGGATGTACCCAAAACAAATTCCTCATCTTGATAGATTTGTAGGAGTATTTTATTAAACCTTTAAAGAAAAATTAATACCTATATTAAACAAATTATTCTTAACTATTGAGAAAGAAAACACTCTGGCAATTTTTTTTTATCTGTAATCCCAAAGCCTAAACCAGGGAATGTTAAAGCAAAGAAAGAAAATATAAGGGAGAAGGGGGGAATTCTCAGAGAATGACCTCCATTTTTCCAGTAAAGTATGAGGCAAGGTTCTCAGCTAAGAGTTAGGAAGAAGAATGCTGTTGGGTGGCTTGAGGAGAGATGAAAAAGTTTGGAACAGTCATTGTGAAGAGAGTAATGAATTTATTAGGAGGGAGTGGATATTTGTCTTGTGTCAGTAAAGACTTGGTTGAGATTAGATAACATAAACTTTTAATGGACCCAGGCCAACATGGTTTTGTGATTTCCTCCAGTATTGGTTGTTCAGTATCATATATATAGGAGCGAAGGTGGTAGATGGTGGGAGTAATTCAGGGTTGAGGTTAAGTGCGGAATTCCAGAGTAGAAGATAATATAGAGTTAAATTGGTTCACTAAGGGGTCAAGATAGGGAAGAGAGGAGGGTTGAAGGCAATGCAAAGGTGATATCCTGGGGAAAAAAACAGAGGACTTAGAGAGAGTTGAGAACACCATGAAGATGAAGAACAGTGTTAAAGATCATAATGCCTAGGGAAATTTGGAATAATAAAAGATCATAATCAGATGAAGAAATTTCAGAGTTCATGAAAAAAAGTGGAATATTTGTGAGTGGCAGCAAGATCAAGGATGTCTGTGTGTGAATGAAGTAGAGTGCAGTAGGTTGAGGCACTTGAGCAGATTGAAGAACTGAGGAGTTAAGGAATTTGTGAGAGTATCAGTATGTATTTTGAAGTTCCCTAGTAGGAGATAAGGAGATGGGTAACAATGAAAGACAGGCACTGAATTCACTGAAGAAGAAAGGTAAGTGTCAATAGATCACAGCCGTCAGAATCTGAATTTGGTAATAAATTGGGATAGTATAAACCTCAAAGAAAGAGAAGTTACTTAGTGAAGATGGTAGAGGGAGAGTATGGCACTGAAGAGCATGGAATATTCCTATTCCTTGTGACCAGTTAATTAGGGGGTATGAGAGATATTGTAGTTGGTGCTAGAAATAGTGACAAGGAAAGCAGTGTCACCAGAAGAGAGCTAGGTTTTATGGAATAAGTAAGAAAAAATTTTCTGATGAAAGGAGATAAGTTAATCATGGACCAGGCTTTCAGGACAGCACAGTGGAAAAAGTGGGCAGATTTGGAGTGGGGCATTGAGATCTGGGTAAGCTTGAGGTGGGTTGTAGTAAAGGAGTGGCCAGCTGAGGGTAGGGAACAGGGTTTGTACATTGGCAGCCAGGTGATCAGAATCGCATGAATAGAGTGAGGATAAAGGTTTACATTAGCCATTGAGGAGAGAGAGACCATTAAGAGCATGTGTGGTTAGAGAAAGCTAAGTTGTAGGAGGCATGTGATTAAACCATTCATCTTCTCTTTTGAGGTTCAACTTTGTGGCAATTGATGTGTCCTGAGGCCCCAGGGAGACTGGTGAGAAGGCAGGGGTACTATGTCTGACCTGAAGGAGATACTAAGGGCTGGAATGCACTATGGGACTGGAGATAGCCCTAGGGCCCCTAGGGCCAGACCTGAAGGGAAGCCAGCATGAACGTGGTGTTTGAGGGCTCTAAATTTCAAAGGACAGTACCTATTTATGAACATATTCTTCTCTGTTTGCTTTTTTTTCAAAAAAAAAAGTCATTCCTATTACTTTCTACTTCACCATATAGATCCTACTTGGAATGAATTATGTTAGCCAAGTTGTACATTTTCTTGTTATGTCCTAGGAAATGAGCTGAGCAAGTTATGAAGTAAGGAAAATAAGACCCTTGTAGATCAAACTGTTCCATCTGCCAGGTCACCAGGATATCTTTAGTATTTCCTTCTAGAGCTCTCACCTTCATGTCCTGCCCTCCACAACTCACCCATCTGCCTTTGCCGTGTTAAAGCTCAGAAACACATTCTAAGGACTAACAAAATTATGATCCTCCATGGTTCCACTTAGCCCTCAGAGCTCTTCATACCCCATCTTTTTCTTTTCCAGGCTGATAAGAAGGATCCCCAAGGCAATGGCACTGTGGCTGGGTTTGAGATTCTTCTTCAGAAGCAACTGAAAGGCAAACAGATGCAGAAGGAAATGTCAGAATTCATTAGGGAAAGGTAACCATTGCTCCAGGGGCCTGCATAACCATATTAATTTCATGCCCCTTAGCCTAAAGGGAGTGACCAGGGAAGCAGTGACCAGTGCCTGAGCACTGGCAATAGAGAGGCAGGATAGTTCAGAAGAAAACATGCTGGTCCTCAAGTCAGAGACCCTGGGTTTGGATCCTGGTTTTGCCATTTACTATTTGTGTGACTTTTAGTAATTCACTTAATCTCTCTGTTCCTCAGCTTCTTCATCTATACGATGAGGAAGGTTGACCACTTGATTTCTAATATCCCTTCCAGTTTTAACTATATATTTTTAAAGAACAGATAAATACTACTTCTGACATTCAGAGATGTAGTACAACCAGGGATCATCTTTTTGGCAGTGAGTAGTTATCTTTGGGATAATGTAGCAGTGCCAAATGAGATAGAAATAAGTAAACCTCTTAAGTATATAAAGGGCCAGGTTGGAGGAAGACGGCACCAAAGCAGGTGTCCTTTCATGGAACATTGCAATGAACCAAATGCAGACTATTGAATAACTATATTTCCGTAGAAATAAAAATGCCAAAGCCTAATTAGTGGGGGAAACTGGGCTATTCGAACCTTTGAGAAAGCAAGACTTTCACTGAAATTCCAGACCAAATTTCCAAAAGGGTTGAAAAGATATTTGGTAAAAAATGAGGATAGGAGGGAAGGGGGAAAGCAGGAGCCAACACATTCTTTTGGTCTGTAGTATCACTGGGCAAACTTCTGTGCTGGAGAAATGATTCATTGGGTTTTGTGTCTTTACAGAATTAAGATCGAAGAAGAATATGCCAAGAACTTAGCCAAGCTCTCTCAGAATTCCTTGGCAGCTCAAGAAGAAGGGTGAGTTTTGGAGTAGGAGAGATGGGTGATGGGGGTGGGGAGGTTAAGAAGGAGGTTTTCAATTTTCCTTTTTGCCTAGTTTTCTTGCTATTTGTACAAATATGATATGCTTGGAGAAATTTCCATATGTCAGCTTAAGCTCCTATTTCATTTATAAATTAGGCTCGTTAGGAGCTCTGTTGAAGCTTTCTATTTGCCAGGCTAACTATGGAGATTTTGGGCTCTGTCTTTGTCACTAAGGTCACCAGGGTGAGAAAAAACCTTTCAGATCTTGAGATCAAGGGTTCTTAACCTGCTATCTGTGAATTTGTTTTATTGAATTTGTTTTATTTTATTTCAACATTTTGATACTGTATTACAATATAATTAGTTTCCTTTGCAATCTTATGCGTTTTATTTTATGCATTTAAAAACATTATTTTGAGGAGTCTGCAGACTTCACCAGACTACCAAAGGGGTTCATAATACAAAAATGGTTAAGAATCCCTGATGTAGATCAACCCACTCAACTTTACATAGAAGGAAACTTAGGCTCAGAGAATGGAAGTGATTTGCCCAAAGTCACCTTGGTAGTAAAGAGCAGAGATTTCAAATCCAGGTCTTCTAGCTTGAGTCTTATGAATCGTGTTCTTCTGTGGACCCCAGTTTTCATATCCAACACCTCCAAGGTTATTAGACAGAGGTCCTTCTGCAGAGTCACTTTCTTATGCAGAGTAGTCTTTGTTAATGTGGCTGGCAGAACAGCACAGCACTACCATCTGGGAAAACTGGGCATTAGCCCAAGTACTTATAAAAACTTCCCTTTCTGTGAGCAAAAGCTTGTTGCTAATCATGTTTGAGAGTATCTCTATATCCCCTGTTCAGCATCACAGAGTGTTTTACTCAAAACCATACCAGATTTTGTTCTTGCAACATCCAGTGGTCCCTAAGCCCCTACAAACATCTCATGTGCAGTAGTAATAACTCCAACCCCTTTGGATTGTGCAGCAGCACATGAGGATGATTGGGGCAGGTACAGAAGAATTTAAGAAGCTCAGAGATTTAAGGGACCTCTGCATCCCTCTGATTTAACCTACCACCTGACCAAGAATCCACCGTATATCATCCCTCACAGGTTGTCCTCTAGCTTCTGCTTGAAAAGAGACTCTTGACTCTTAAAGTGGCCCATTTCCCCTTTGAGCAACTCTGAGTGTTAAGAAGTTTTTCTGCCTTCCTACAACTTCTACCCATTTCTCCTAGTTATGTTATCTGCCCTTCTTCCACATGATAGCCGATTCCAGAGTGGGGTGCTCTTAACTTTGTGGTTATGGGAAGAAGGCTGAACCTGATCAGCTCCTTGCCTGAAAGATCATAAAATCTTAGGTTTGGAACTTAAAAGGCCATCTAATCAACCCTCCTACCAGCACAGGAATCACCTCTGCAGTATCCCAGAGAAGAAAACATTTGCACATTCTTCTTTTCTTTTCTTTTTTTTTTCTTTTTGTTGTTGTTTTTGTTGAGGGAATTGGGGTTAAATGACTTGCCCAGGGTCACACAGCTAGTAGGTGTCTGAGGCCATTTTTTAATTCAAATCCTCCTGACTCTAGGGCTAGTGCTCTATTCACTTTACCACCTAGCTGCCCCTCATGTTCTTATTTTCAGTCTGATAAGAAGTTGTCAGATGGAGATGCATAACTAGAAAACAGGCCTTAAAGTCAGGGTTCAAGTACTATTTCTAATGTACTATCTGCGTGACACTGGGCAAGTCTCTTAATATCTCAGTACCCCAGGTAACTCTCTAAGATTAAGTTGCAGGGCAGGTCCCCATCTGAATTGTCAGTGTTTCCTCACTGAGGATTTTTTAATACCAAAGAAATCACCAAAGGTCAAATTCAAAAAAACCCGAAACATTCTATTTGAATACGTCAAGGGATAGTGAGCTCACTATTTCATGGAGCAGTCTTTTAATTTTTGGATAGCTTTAATTATTAGAAAATTCTGCCTTCTATTGCTCTGTGTTTCATTCCTTCAGGAAACAGGGATTTCCAATTAAATGTGTCTTCAGTTGAACCAAATACTTAGGCCAAATATTTAAACAAGCGGCATCCTCTAAATGGTTTTCCATCAGGCCTGCTGGCTAAGATTGTACTATTCAACGCTTGCCTTTCCTGATTTTTTTTCCTCTGGTTACTCAAATGAAATTAACTCCCATTCCTCCCCTTCCCTGCCCCCACCTCTCAATTCATCAAGCACTGCCCAGGAAGATATTCATGCCTGGACAATTTGGGGAATCACTGTGGTCGTTGGCAAATGAAGTTCTAACTCAGTCAGTCCAGGACTGGGACTGCCCTAACCACACCCACATCCTGCAGCCACTAGCCCCCAAAGGCCTTTTAGCTCCTACCTCCTCTAACTGGGATATTTCCAAGTACTCTCAGTTCTGCCAATAAGCAGGACATATGCTTCCAACATGAGCATCCCATTCCACAAATAGTCATGCACTGCCATGACCTACACACATACACATGCTCCTGCACTCTCTCTCTCTCTCTCTCTCTCTCTCTCTCTCTCTCTCTCTTCTCTGTCTCTCTCTCTCTCTGTCTCTCTCTCTCTCTCTCTCTCTCTCTCTCCCTCTCTCTCTCTCTCTCTCTCTCTCTCTTCTCTCTCTCTCTCTCTCTTCTCTTTCTCTCTCTCTCTCTCTCTCTCTCTTCTCTCTTCTCTCTCTCTCTCTCTCTCTCTCTCTCTCTCTCTCTCTCTCTCTCTGTTTCCCCTCCCTTCCTGGTCTGTGCTTTCACTCTGGCTGAGTAGTTACATTGTTGTTTTTCAGACGTTTGAAATTTTGACTATGTCTATTTGTTTTCCTAAAAGCAGTTCTGGAGCCTAAGACTCTGTACTGTCTTGAGAGATGCTAACTGCTGAAACCTGAGCTGCTTTTGCAACTTAATATTTCCATGTAAATTAGATTTCACAGGACATGTAAATAAAGAAAATAAGATTATTCGTTCTACCCACAGTTTTCTCCCACAGAGAAGGGCGGTGGTATTATAGGGTCTTCATTGTTGGCAGGTATGACAGTTATACACATTTTAATTTATTTTTTAAAAGTATGCATCAGAAGAGGTTGGGATGCCATAGCTGAGGAATAAACTAGCAGACCCTTCATTCCTGATTGCAAATTATCTTGCTGATTTTGTCCCAGCCCATCCCAGTATGACAAAGTCTCCTCATCGAATCTGAACATACATACCCTTTGTTTGGTATCATTTAAATTCATCCAATGGCCTTCGATCCTTCCATACTGATTAAGGATTTTTTCATGCGTGGTTAAAATGCTTTTGATTGAGATATCTAAGCCTTGTTCATATTTCTGATTCGTTCATTCAAGAAGTCCAGCTGCTCTGTAATTTTTGATATATTGTTATGGAATTCCTATCTCATATTCTTCCCCCCCCAATTTAATATTTGCTATCCCAAGCAAATCTACTGATGGGAGCTTGGCAGAATCTATGGTCCCCAATCTTGGATAGCTCTCTAGTTGATTGAAAAAGTTCTGCATATTCTTTCTGCATGCGTTCCCTAGTTTCTTATATTAAAGAGTCTGTGTGGCACCACTCTTAATCAAATTTAGTAATTACTATCTCTCCCCCCTACACACATACACACACACACACACATGCACATGCACACGCACACGCACACATACACTGCCTTGCTGGGATAACTGTCATATTCCTTTTGGTTTTTGAAATGTTGAAGATGGCCAATGATGATGATGATGATAGCTCTAATAGCTAGTAATTCTATAGGACTTTTAAGATTTGCACAGCAGTCTACAAATTTTATCTCACAACTACTGTGAAAATGGGTGCTATAATTATTATCCCCATTCTTAAAATGAAGAAACCAAGGCAGACAGAGGTGAGGTGACTTGCCCAGGGTCACACAGCTAGCAAGTTTGAATTTGAACTCCAAGCCCAACACTCTTATAATAATAATGTTAACATGAATTTTTTTTTTGTACAGATAGGTCTTTTACTACTGTCAGTAACTTCTCCGATAGTGGGATTGATGGGCCAAAAGGTGCAAACAGTTTTACAATTTTTCTTACATCATTCCAAATTGTTTCCCAAAACATTTGAACCAAATCATAATTCTATCAGCAGTGGAATGTATTTTCAAACAACCTTAGCAACCTCAAATTTTCCTCAAATTTTTGATAATTTGGTATACACAATTTTTTTTTAAATTTGTATTTCTCTGGTTATTATCTATTTTCTTCAAATGATAGTATCAAAGATTTATACTAATAAGGTTCTTTGGGGATCTCTAATTTAATCTCATTTTATGGGTGAGGAAGCTGAGTCCCAGAGAGGTTAAGTGATTTAGCTATCATTGTTGTATTTCTCCTTTTGAAAACTGTTCATAGCCTTTGTTCATCAACTAGGGAATATTTCTTAATCTTGTAGACTTCCTTAAATTTCCTATAAATCTTAGATATCAGATTTTTGATCAGAGATGTTTATTGCAAAATTTTTTTTCACACTTAGGTCAAAAGGTATGGATCTTTCCTTCTTCTTCTAATTGTATTGGTTTTTCTTATACAGAACCCTTCAAAAACTTTTATGTAACCAAAGTTATCTTTTTTTAAAAATAGTATTTCCCAAATTGAGGTTGAGATCAAGTATACAGGAAAACATAGTTCAGAAAGAAGATATGATAGACCAAAGACTTGTAGGTTACACAAAAGCCTAAAGAATGAAATAAATTGTATTTTAATTGATAGGAAAATGCTTGTTATTAATGTAGGAGCTCTTCCTGGGTCAACTATCTGTATATGGTCAGGCAATGAACTTCTCGGAGCTAAGATCAAAATTAGTATTTTTTTTTAAAAAATCATAGTCAAAGAGGAGGGGTTTTTTTTCAGATAACACGATGGTCTACTTAAAGAATCCTACAGAGTTGACAAAAATTAATTGAAGCAACAACCAATAAAGTAGCAGGATATAAAACAACACCTCATAAATCATCTGCATTTCTATATTTCCAATAAAACCCAGCAAGGAGAGATAGAAAGAGACATTCCATTCAAAATTACTACGTAATCTAGTAAATATTTGACAGACCACCCAAGACTCACAGGAACTATATGAATACAACTACATAATGCTCTTTACAGAAATAGACAGATTTAAATAATTGGGGAGATTCTAATTGCTTATGATTGGGCTATGCCAGTATAATAAAAGTAACAATACTTACATTAACTTATTTTCTCAGTGTCATACCAAAAGATGATTTTTAGGGAGTTAAAATTTTTTTTAACAGTTCATATGAAGGAACAAAAGCAAAATTCTCAAGGGAAATAATAAAAGAAAGTAGGAAAGCAGAGGGCCTGACAGTAATAAATTTCAAACTATACTACAAAGTAGGAATCATAAAAAAAATTTTGATAATCTTTAAGAAATTTAAAAATTGATCAGTTGGACAAATTAGTAGCCCAATATACAGAAGGAAGAGAACACAGTAGTGTAATGTTTGATAATGCCAAAACCTCAGCTACAGGGGTAAGGGACTCACTATTTAAAACAACAACAACAAAAACAAAAAACTACTAGACAAACTGAAAAGCAACCTGGCAAAATTAAGTTTAGATCAACACTTTACACCATTTATGAAAGTAAGTTCTAAATGGATATAGGACCTAGACATAAAAGTTCAAATCATAAACAAGTTAGAGGAAAAAGAAAGGAAATGCTTTTCACAATTATGGATAGGGAAATAGTTCTTGACCAAAGAAGAGATAAAGAGGGTCACAGAAGAGAATATGAGTAAGTTTGATTACATAAAATTTTTAAATTTGCTCAAACAAAATCAATGCAGTTAAAATTAGAAGGGCAATGGTTAACTAGGGGGAAAATCTTTATAGCAAGTTTCTCAGATTAAGTTCTGATATCCCAGCTATAGAGAGAACTGATTCAAATAAGAATCATTACCCAATAAATAAATGGTCAAAGGATAGAGACAGGTAGTTTTTAAAGGAAGAAATCAAAACTATCAACAACCACAAGAAAAAATACTTTATATAACTAATAATAAGAAAAATTCAAATTAAAATGCCTACTTATTAGATTGACAAAGATGATTTTTTTTTAAAGAAAGCCACATGAGGATTATAGGAAGAGCTACAGAAGGACAGGCACATTAATGCATTGCTAGTAAAACTATAAATTAGTCTGGCCATTCTGGAAAGCAGTTTGGAACTATACCTTAAAAAGTCACTAATCTATCCATACTGTTTAACCTGGTGGTGCCATTAGAAGGCATATGCCCCCAAAAGATTTAAATAAATTTTAAAAAGAAGTAAAGGAACTACATCTACAAAAATATTCATAGCAGCCTGCTCTGGGTTGGGGGCTGCCTCGGCCCACTCCTCTGGTAGTTTAGGTACAATATTGGAATAGAATAGGTCATTCAATAGTTTACAAATTAAAGTAACTTGGAGAATGAATGGTCTGTAGGTCGAGTCTCAATTGAAGTAATTAGAGATGTTTAGAGAAGAGAACATTTGGGGGGGACACAAGAGCTGTCTCTTGTGGAACAGGGATTGGATTTATTCCACTTGGCCACAGGAAGCAGAACTAATAGCAATGTATAAAAGTTTCAAGACAAATCTGATTATGTGAGGGGGGAAAAAACTTCCTCATAATGAAAGCTATGCAAAAGTAAAATGGTCTTCCTGGCAATGTAGCATGTTCCCCCCTTCACCAGTAGTCCTCAAAACAATAGCTGGGGGATTGGTGGGGATATTGTAAAGGCAATTCTAAGTTGGGTATAGGTTAGATTAGATGGCCTCTGAGGTCTGCTCTAACTCTGAAATTCTGTTACTCTGTGATGAGGTTTTCTACACTTAGCTAGACTGTTCTTTGGGTGACAGATATGAATTAAATCAACTTAACGTTTAGTATGGATATATGGATTCGGTTTAAGATAAGAGGTCTAGGAAGCATGGAGCAAGGCAGTGAGGATTTCACTTGTGAATTTAGTGAAACTCATTGTTTATAAATGGCAACGCAAAATAGAAAACAGATGAGAAAAGGAATGTTAAGTAAAATATTAATGAACCTTTTTGACATAATTAATTTCTATTGAACAGCTACCAAAAGCTAGTTTTTTCAGATACAAGATATGGCCACTAGACATACGTACATTCTAACAAAAGGTTACATCTAACATCCTATTTAGTAAATGGTACATGGGGTGTTAAGAGAGGACTAGCACCCCTGGTGTGAGGGCCTGCTGAGCCCTTTTCAGGGCTGCTCACCTGCCTTTAGTGTCCATCTGTCACCCAACTCTCACATGTGGCTCCAAGAAGCTGTAGCATGTGCAGCGGATAAGATGGTAAAACCATCTCAGCAGATGAGCTGAACCAAGATGAGGGTAACTGACAGGCCTCAAACCTACCAGTGAATTAGGGGCGTGTCTGCCTCAAGCATGTGAAGACTTCCCCTCAGGCAGAATGGGCGGATGAGAACAATTTATTCCAATTTATTGCTGTGGAGCACTTAGAGGTTGGCTTTGAGGGTGCCACGGTCATCTACTGCATCCTGGGCCATTTCTAGTTATCCTGACTTTTGTCTTGTCACTGGACTTCAATGACTTTGGAAGAGAGAGTGAGGCTGTTGACTTTGTGCAACTCTGCCTCACTTAAATCCAATTCACATACAAGTCAAGACATCACCCTATAATGTCATTGGTCCTCTTTGAAAATGAAGGACAAACAACATCTTAATAGACTAAATATATTCTTTTAGAGATAAGGAAGCTTCTGAAGAATCCAGGAGAAGCTTAGTGTGACAGTCTAACAGGGCACTGGCCATGCCTAGCCCTTATTGGATGATGTAATCTCCATGTGGGTTTCAGAGTACGTGTAGGTATGATTTTTCCTGGTCTGTTAACCATGTGGTAAAGAGATGGAACCACGTGGTAAAGAGCTAATCTTCCTGTTAGCTGCTGAGTGGAGGTAGAAGTTGTTACAACAGACTTCCTTGAAGGACAACTCATGTGTTGGGTGAGCAGGCCTGAGGATCCTCTCCTATCAAAAGAGGGTTACAGCAGCTTTTCCTTCTTGCCTACCACCAGAGAAGTGAAAAAGGACTAAGTTGCTCCAGGCAGTCTTGTTGTATGAACTCCTACTACCACTCAGCAGCCTATAAAAAGTCTATCTCTTTCTTCATCATGTGCTTAGTAGACCAGATGTAGACAGAGCTGCATATACTCTGAAGTGCACTTAGCAATTTTATCACAGCCATAAGGGCTAGGCTTGGCCAGTTCCCTTTTAGAATAATTTGTACCATATGTCCTTGTCAAATGTTTTATGTGATAGTTGAGTGCTCAGAGCTAGGGATTAGAATCACCTGATCCTCCTCCTTCTATTGTTGAGATGTAACTCAAAGTAATATGACAAACAGAATTTTTTAAATCCCTACAAATGAACCTTGTTCAGGCAGCTAGGTGGCACAGAACCTTGAGTAAGGAAGTTGAGTTCAAACCCAACCTTAGACGTTACCGGCTGTATGACTCTGCACAAGTTACTTAACCTCTCTCAGCCTCAGTTTCCCAGTCTTGAAAATGGGAATAATAATAATAGCACCTACTTCCCAAAGTTGTCAGAATAAAATGAAATAATATTTTTAAAGAGCTTTGCACTATATAAATTCCTATTGTTGTCATTGTTATTCTGAAATCAGTCATTTCAGGAGACTGCACACTTAATCCAACCATGCTATAGTTCAATGTCACGTTTCTAGAATTCCTATTTGGTGATTTTCACCAATTACAAGTTTTTAAATCATTAGTGGTTCCAAGTTTTCATTCTTTGGGGATAAATCTGATTTGTCAAAATGGCCCCAAAATCACTTAGAATTGAATCTAGTAAATAAAATAAGCAATGAATTTGGTTTCATAAAATAAAAGAAAGAAACCAACATTCCCTCCCTCTAAAACAAAAGCAAAAAACGACCTACCAAGTGTTAACTATAAAATAATGAAATTGGGTTTCTTGTAAATTGGCTCTAAAGCATCCATTCCAGGATTACTCTGGATTAGTTCTCTCCAGAGCAAGAGGATTGTAAGACACCTGAGGATAAAAAAAAAAATGGTCAGGGTCCTTTCCTTGCTGCTTCCATTTTCTTTTATTGCCCTCTTTCCTGTGCTGATTGAGTTCCTAAGCCTTTCTTCCTAAGCCTTTCTTCATTTGCCTGCCCATTTGATCACCTTCCTCATTCTACTCTCAGCCCCTATACATCTCCCCTAGGCACTGGCTATTTAAGTGGGCCTTTGAACATATTCTCTGCCCTCTAGTGTCTGTATATTTACTGTGCTCTTGATTTCTATAGCTTATCTGGCCTCTGTGTCATGGTTTTCCAAACACTCTACCATTGAATCTCTGAGACTAGGCTTGTCCCTTATGGGGGACATGAGAATACTGTAATTCTCTTCCAGGCCCAACCCTACTATTTGTTTCTTTCTTTGTTTTTACAGCTCCCTAGGAGAAGCCTGGGCCCAAGTAAAGAAAAGTCTGGCTGATGAGGCTGAAGTCCATCTCAAGTTTTCTTCCAAGGTGACCTTCTTCTCCATGTACCACCTATCATGTCAGATACATACATCTCAGTGGGGTAACAAGGGGGTTCCTCTCCCTTCCCCAGGTATATCCCAAAAGGACTAGACTCTAACATCCCTTTGATATTTAAAGGGACCTTTTGTAGTTTCCACTTTTTCATGGGATAGATCAGGCATTAGCTCTACTTAGGATGGCATTTTTCCCAAGGGAAAATTTTCAGTTGGTGAAACTATAAGAAAGAGCCCTGAATTTAGAGTCAAGGAGGACAGAGCCAAGATGGTGGAGTGAAAGCAGTGACTTGCTTGAGCTCTCTCCCAAAGCCCTCCAGATACCTGTAGAGTCAAGGAAACCTGGGTTTGAATATAGGCTCTGATACTTACCTTTGAGCTTATTGACTTGTTTCTAAGGTCTCTTTCAGGTTTAGATTCTATGAGAAGTGTATAATCTATCATATATGATAGATATGATATGTTTGTCTCTGGCACCCTTCTGCATACTTCATATGGGACAAACAGGGACAGAGCTTATGCTGTCATTTAGGATTTCTAGACCCAACTCTTCAGGTGCCTGCTTCTCTCATGCTGCCTTCTGACTGTTCAAAACTCCCTCGAACCACCTTCACCACTTTGGGACCTTTGTGTGGCCTATGTTACCCACTGCTACAAAATTCTCCTCCTTTCTAGTCCTTGTGTTAAAGTGCCTAGACCAGGGGTGGGGAACCTGCAATCTTGAAGCCTCATGAAGCCCTCTAGGTCCTCAATGCAGCCCTTTGACTAAATCCAAACTTCACAGAACAAATCCCCTTAATAAAAAAAATTGTTCTACAAAATTTGGACTCAGTCAAAAGACCACATCAAAGGACCTAGAAGGACCTGTGCCACCCCTGGCCCGTTACACTCTCTTTCAGACTAAGCTCAGGTGGGTGTTAGGAGGGAAGTATATCTGAGATCAAAATAATTAACAGTGATATGTGAATGATTTATAATCTCAACCTATAATGGAAACAGCTGTGAAAAGAACACTGTGAAAAGAACTATGGTGCCAGAGAACCTGGGTTCAAATTATGCCTCTGAAATTTACCTTCTATGTGATATTGAGCAAGTCACCTTCCCTGGGCCTCAGTCTCCTTATCTCTAAAATGAGGGGGTTGGATTAGATAATTCTAAGGTCTCCTATCTCTAAGTCTGGGACCCTATATCAACCTTCCCTGTAGGGTTTTTATTTTAAATGGGGAACTCGTTAATTCTAGTAAGTAAAACTATATGATTGGAGACTCTTTGCTGCATCACATACCTGTCAGACAAAGAGGGTTCAGCATTGGTGAGTTGCATTACCCTGGTGTCGATTATAAATTGAACTGAATTAAGTACTTACTGTTTGCCAGACCCTGTGCCAGAAAATGACATAGTACGTGGCCTGAAAGGAGGTTTCAGCCTAATAAGGCAGACAGAACAAGTTATGAAAAAACATAGAATGTAAGGGGCAAAAGGAAGATGCAGACAAAATTTTCTCTGCCAGCTCTAATATGCCATGTTGCTGTGACTTTATAAAAAAAACAATCCTATAGAATAGGGGTTCTTAACCTAAGGTCCTTGGAAAGATTTCAAGGGGTCCCTGAATTTGGAAAGAAAAAAATATATATCTTTATTTTCACTATTTCACAACTGAAATTTAGCATTTCCTTCCATTATGGATTCTTAAAAAACTGTTCTGAGGAGTCCATAGACGAAAGTTAAGGTCTTATGCTCTATAAGCTGCTTGATCCCTCCCAAGTAGTGTCTCTTAATATGGGCCCTGAAAATAGGCCAACCCAAAATATGGATAACTATGATAATTAGCAAGAGTGCACAATCCAGTCAATTACTTTTTTTTTCTATAAAAATATAACTTTTGTTAAAAGGAAAGACTATCACTAGTTAGTACTCCTTATTACTTTTGTTTTTCAAACTAAAGTCAAAATACCATGTAGAAAAAGATTTTAAGGAAATGCAAATACTTCAATATAGGTTAGCTCATGATCCAGTACAGTAGATTTTTCTATTAAGATAAAACTTATGTTAATAGGAAAGTATAAATCACTAGTTAATTTTCACTACTTTTGTTTTGCTAATAGTCAAAATAAAACGTAGAAGGGGCAGGTAGGTGGCGCAGTGGATAGAGCACCGGCCCTGAAGTCAGGAGTACCTGAGTTCAAATCCAGTCTCAGACCGAACACTTGACACTTACTAGCTGTGTGACCCTGGGCAAGTCACTTAAGCCCAATTGCCTAAAAAAAAAAAACACAAAAAAACAAAACAAAATAAAACATAGAACAAAATTTAAAGATATACAACCAATATGATATGGTTGAAGTACTTTCTTGCCCCAAACTTCAATTGCCATTAATCATTGTTTATCATAATTCTGGTTTTCCTTTTTAGGGCTAGGTAGAAAACACTTTTAAACTCACATTGGATTTTCCATAGAATCAGAAACTTTTTGACTCTCTGTAATTCAAGGTTGGTACTTTATACGTGAGTTAATCTTACTCTATAACATTCCCCAGGAGTTGTCATCTGACCTATACTTGAAGTCCATTGGAGGAAGTCATTATTCCTTAAAGCAGTCCATTCCGTTCTCAGACCACTCTAATTGTTAGGAAGTATTTCCTTATATAGAGCTAAAATTGGCCTCTAACATGTCCTTAGTTCTTCTCTCTCTGAGGCCAAGCAAAACCTAACAACTCTTTAAATCATCAAAGACAAGTATTATGTCTTCTCTCCCACCACTCTCTGTACCAGCCCACTCTACCAACCCCTTCTACCACCAACGTAGGTCTTCTCTTCCCCAAGGTGGGACCTTAGTTCCCTCTTTTCTTTAGAATTCCAACGCTTGATATGCTCCCTGCCAGCGTTAAAAGCTTTCAATCAAATGCTTGCCCAAATGATGTTAACTGGGCTCAGATCTCTGGCTATGAATCTTAGAACCTTCTTTCTATAGCTTTGATCTGCTCCAAGACTATGTTCTGTCTTTCTTGTGAACCTCTTGAAAGAGCAAAAAATAAAGCATGGAGAATTTCAGGCAGTGGTGGCTGATTCATACTGACATATGATATCATGGGTTTTATTCCTAGCTCCTTGCTTGGATCTTCTCTCTCATGAATTTCTGGGCACCCATCCTACATTACAGTTGCTCTTCATGGGATCTAATGGTAGATGTAACTGAAGAGCTTCCTCCCTTCCCATTCCTCTTCAAGTTAAAGCCCTTCTGATTGGATTAATGAGACACCAGGCAAATACATTCCTATGTGCACTCTTTCTCTGGACAGAAGCCTATATTTTTGCCATACTTCAAAAAATCAATTTTAATTCTTTCCAAGTCAGAGATTGTTGATATACTTTCCTCAAGTCAGTTGAGTTATTCACCCATATCTAGAGCGGAGTTTATGAGTGTCTTTGAACCAGTTCTCAAGAGGGCAGTGCACTGGGAAGTTGGTACATTCATTTTAGTCTGGGCTCCTGTTATTTCTGTTTCAGTAACCCTCTATTAGTGATGCTGTTCTATGACAACTAAATATGTGTGCCATAGTAAGTCTCTACTCTTGGAGGGAAGAAGGGAAGGGGTGTAGAGAGAAGAAAGGGAAAAAGAGGAAATCAGACAGTGAGGAGAAATCAACAACCATAAAAAGTGCTTTCTCTGTGCCAAGCACTGGGAATATAAATACAAGTGGAAAGATAGTCCCTGTCCTCAAAAAACTTACATACTAATGGTGGAAGACAACACATTAAGGGAAGCCAGAAAGGGGGGATGACATGAAGGGAGAAAGAGGGGTAGCTTTGCCTTGGGCATGGTAGAGATTGTCTGAAGATATAGCCTGAAGAGAAATGAAACTTGGCTGACCTGAGTGCCTTTTTTGAGGAGGTTTTGGGAAGAGGGAGAGGAGCAAAGAGAACTTCCAATATGTGAATTCTAGGGCTGAAGTAAGCATCTAGTCCTCTTCCTCTCATTTTATAGATGAGGAAACTGATGACCAGACTCAGGGTGACTCAAGGTCATGCAGCTAATTATTATTTTTAATGTTATATTGTTAATAATGTTGCTATACTGTTAATTGTTATTAATTTGATAATAAAATATAATAATTCCCAGGTGTCTTTGGTCTAATTCTCAAAGAGTGTACTGTAAGTTGGTATATTCATTTCCTCTTTGGCTCCTGGTATTTGTTTCAGTAGATAATGTTAAATTGCATTAATAATATAGTTATAATAATAATGACTGACACACAGAACATTAAGATTTACAAACTGTATTCCTAACAACCACCTTTGTAATAGAGGTTTTACAGATGAGAAAACTGAGGCTCAGACTAACTTGCTGTTAGTCTCTAAGGTCATTGCTAGTAAGTGTTGAATGCTAGGATTCAAACCTAGGTCTCCAGACTTCAAGCCAAGTACACTTTTTACTACATCACACTGGAACTAGAGCCGAGGACAATTTCTCTTTATGGTTTCTTCTAATCAATGTGAATGGTTGTTACTCTGGAGCACGGAGCCTCTCTCCTTCCCACTATTTTCCTCCCACCAGCTCCACAGTGAAGTGGAAAAGCCCTTGATGAATTTCCGTGAAAATTTCAAGAAAGACATGAAGAAGTGCGACCATCATATTGCTGATCTGCGGAAACAACTGGCCAGCCGATATGCCTCGGTGGAGAAGGTAGGCTGTTTCAGAGTAGGGGGAGGATCAGCTGCTTGGCAAGCATTATAAATGGTGGATGGAGAAGCCCAGGAACAACTGCCTGTGTTGAAGTCATGCAGACAAGGCTCCCAGAGTCCCACAGTGACACAGTGAAGTGACAGTGATCAATAGAAGTAGGCTAGAGCAATTCTCTCCCAAGTATCTCCTGTACTCATTCAACAATATTTATTGAACACCTGTCGTGTTAAGTTGACTTGCCCAAGGTCCTACAGGTAGCAAGTAATGGCAGTGCGAGAATCAAATTCAGGTCCTCTGAAACCAAATCTAGTATAGGATTATGCTCTCTAGGGAGAAAGCCCCTTCCCCATTAGTAAGGCATATGTTTTGGGTTGTTTTCCTAGCAATGGGAACGGGTTTATTCTTTTTGGGGTAGTTGGGAGAGACAGGCAGACCCAGATAATTTTTCCTATAAATACCTTCTTCCACTGCAAGTTGTGGTGGCTGAAGGGGCTGTAGATCTGATGATGTTAGGGGTGGTAGAAGGTAACTTGGCAATAGAGTGAAAAGCTGGGCGAGCAGCAATAGCCAAGGTAACAAATAAAGGCAAAATAGTGATGGGAGAGTGGGCCTGGAAAAAACTTCAAATGCATCCCAGACCCATGCTCCCACTTGGAGCATATACAAGGAGTTATACAATGAAAGGAATCATACGACCGTAAGATATCAGAACGAGAAGGGATATGAGCACTCACTTAAGTCCAACCCCATCGTTTTACAGGTGAGAAGACTAACACCATGAGAAAAGATACCATCTTTCTATCTTTTCATTTTTTTAATGGTGTGATCTTTAATATTAAGGTTATATATCTATTTTGAATTTATTGTAGATTGGGGCATGAGATGTAGGTAAAAGTCTAATTTCTGCCAGACTGCTTTCCAGTTTTCCTAGATAATAGGGGATTTTTTTCTAAATAATTTCTGTTTTCTGAGGAGCAGCAGGATGATGCACTTGGGAGACCACTAGCCCCGGAGTTAGGAAGACCTGAGTTTAAGTCTCACCTTGGTATAATTACTAGCTGTCTGACCCAGGGCAAGTCACTTCACTCAGTTTCCTCATCTGTAAAATGGAGTTGATAATAGTCCCAGGGTTGTTGTGAGGATCAAATGAGATAATTGTACAGTGCCTAGCGCAGTGCCTGGCACATAGTAAGCACTATGTAAATGTTAGTTATTATGATTATTACCATCATTATCATACACTGAGTGTATTGGAAAGGTCATGTAGCAAGTCAGTGGCAGATTTGGAACTAGAATCTAGAGTAACATTTTCTTCTGAACACATGATCCCTAATTCTGCCAACCACCTGCTATTCTATTATGTTATTCTTGGCACACAGAAGGTTAGGTGGGTCCAGATCTAAGTTCTGATAGACTAGTGAATAGTGAAGCAGAAAGAGAATTCAAACTGGACGTCTGGACCTGGTTTCTCTCTGTTACTTGCTCTGCCACCGTGTAGCTATGTGACCTTGGAAACATCACTTCATTTCTCTGGGGCACTCTCATCTATAAAATGGGGAACATAACTCACCTGCTGAAAAGAAGGCTGGACCACGTGACCTTTTGAAATCTTTCTATATCTCTTAAGAGCTACATTTTCCCTTTCCGTTCTGTTTGGTCTAAGGCACGGAAGGCTCTTACAGAGAGGCAGAAAGACCTGGAGATGAAAACCCAGCAATTAGAAATCAAACTAAGCAACAAAACTGAAGAGGACATCAAGAAAGCCAGGCGGAAGTCTACCCAGGCTGGTGAGTTCCCGAGGCTTGCTATGGGGTAAGAATCATACCTCCCTTTGAGCCAAAGGTTCTGTTTTGCCCTGCTCTCCTTTACATGTTTTGGAGATTGTGATCCGCTTTGATGGGTAAGTGGATTGAGTCCCTGAGATGAGGGGACTGGAATGAGAGAATAGGGGCAGGAAGGGAAAAAATGGAGAGACCAAAGGAAATTTGATCCTTACCTACCAGAATACTTCACCCTCTTCTTTCAGTCCTGCAGTCCTACTCTGGGGAAAAGAAACCAGATGTTTCAGAGTAAGGTGGTCCCTATAGATTAAATTTCAGTTTGGTGTTGTTGGTGTTAAAGGGAGTGGGGAGTTCTTCTGTGATGAGGAAAGCTTCCGGGAAGAATGTAGGCAGCCAAAAAAAGGAGAATCTTGGACAGACACTTCCTCATTGCCTTGACAAGATAGGATTTTTGCAAATTTACCATCTGCATTAGGGAAATTTCCTCCCTCCACCATCCTCCCCACCAGGAGATGTTCACAGCCCGACAGAAGGGACCACTTCCCAGACCTAACCATCACTAGGCTCTATTAGTGTGAATGATGCATCTTCTTGAAGTGGTCACCTATTTGAATTCACACTGCATATTTCCTGTGGGCTAGAATCAATTACCATATTTTACATAATTATCACTTCAAATAGTGCAAATTTGAATAAATATGAATATGTGTATCCCAAGGCCCAAGTCTGATGCCTTGAATTAAGCAAGTATTGGTTTGGCTTTGATTTTGACTAGCTCCTTATATTATAATTCCTGAGACCAGATGCAACTGAGAAAAGCAGGCTTTACTCCCAGCCTGATTTTCTCTAGTTCTTCAAATGAAGTCTCTACTGCCCCCCAGTGATGAAAATTAGCTAATCCCCAGAAGTACAGAATCCCTTCAATCCTTTCTAAAGTCAGGAGGTTGAAAGGCCAGACTGACTTTGTGGAAAGGTTGATTTATAAAAAGTGGGATGGAAATGTTGTTTTATTACTCTCAAATACAGTGATATTGAAGACTGCGATAAAATGGGTGAAATGCCACCAATTACAAGATAAAGAAAAGTGATATGACAAGAAGAGCAGCGAATTTGTCAGAAGACCCAGATTTCCATCCCAACACTTTCATTTGACCCTTGTGTAACCTTGTGCAAGTGCTCTGTCTGGGTCTCACCATTTTAAAATTAAAATGACCACATGAAAATTAAAGGAAACTATCACTGTTTGTGAGAGTAATTTTAGAGTTGTCTATCTGAATGTAGTTAGACCATTAGTGTGTTAGAACAAAAATCAAAACTAATGCCAAATTAGTAGAAAGGATAAAAATGCAAAGAAAACAGTCAATTTGACCCATTTTAATAACTTCAGCTTGACTTATTAATGCTCCCCCCACCAAAAAAAAAAAAACTGAGTAAAATGAAACAGACATTGGCATAGATAGACTACTATTTTTTTTTTTTGTGGAGTTTAAAGCAGTTGCCATAATAGGACCAAAAGAAACCACTACAGCCAGAAAGCACCTATGGATTGAGAGTCAAGATCTGGGTTCAAATCCCAGTTATGCCCCCTACTATATTGTATCTTTGGGTGAGTCACAAGCACTCTGGGCCCAGTTTCCTGGAATTAGATGATCTCTAAGACATCTTCTAGAGATCCAAATCTATGGTCTTCAAAATGAGACAGTTGGACTAATTGATCATCAAGGTCCCCTCTACCTCTAAAATTTCTGTTCATTAACCCTGGGTAATTACAAGCATGTGCCACAAGTTGCCAATTAATGATACTTCCTTTAATGAGTTGTCAAAACCAGTAGAGCTGAGAAGGTCTGGGTCTTCCATAAATTTCATTCTCCCTTTTTTCCAATAGGGTCTAGTTCCATGCCCTTCAGGATACCATTCCATAGTACCACATATGTCCCAAAAACTTGAGGAACCATAGTGTTATATTTTTAGGATCAACAGATTTTGAACTGAAAACACTCAATTTACAAATGAGGAAAGAGAAGCTTAGATATATTAAATGACTTGTATACAGTTACACAGGTGACAAATAACAGAGCCAGGGTTCAAATCCAGATCTTTTAACGCTAGATTCAGTGTTCTTTCTACCATATTATGAATGGGACTTAAGGTAACCTATCCTTAAGAGACCTATTCCTTGAATTTCCTAGTAATGGAAATTGGTCTAGGAATACTCTTCTTCCCAGTCTCCTTTGTAATAAGTAGAACAGCCTGTGACAAGGGAACAGAGCAAAACTAATTTGAAACTGTCACCTTGGTCACATTAACATGGTATTTTACCCAACTGAGGCAAGGAACAATTTACCTAAATGAGTAGGCCTTGGTGATTTTTAGAAAAGTTCATTTAATGAGGGATACATGTCAAGTTATAGTAAATTTAATCCTTAGTGTTTAGTGCTATGCACCAACATCTATGTTGCATCACTGACCTCAGTAGTCACCTGTCAGCACCCTCTTAACCCTGAGTCCCCACTATCTATATGGCCATGGATAGAAGAGAAAAGATTGCCACAGAGATGGCAAAAATAATTGTGTTTAGGGCCATGGAGGAAAAATAACTTTGTTCCTTCTGTGTTTTCAGGAGATGATCTGATGCGCTGTGTGGATCTCTATAATCAGGCTCAGTCTAAGTGGTTTGAAGAGATGGTGACAACCACCTTGGTATGGATCTCCCTTCAGGGGATGGGTGACATCCTTTTCAGTGAAGGGTGTGGTGACCTGTACTACAGGCTCCATCCCACAAGAGCTCAGGAGAGTTCTTGGCAGAATAGTAAGGAAGATGGAGGACGGTCCGGAGTCCTGACTCCTGCCATCTAGAACTTCATCTATTGTAATAGAATCCAAGCTGTGAATCTACATGTAAGGACCTTTGTCCTTTTCCTGTAGAATCACCTAATCCAGTCATCAGCCTAAGATAATTTTTTCCAGATCTATTAATCTTTCACTACTAAATGAGCATAAGATTTAGAACTGAAAGGAGGTTTTAATGATCAACTAATCAAGTCTGTCCTTTTTCTAGATGAGAAATTGAGGCTCAGTAACTTTCCCAAGGTCACAGGGTAGTGAGAAACAAAGCTAGCATTTGAACTCAGATCTTCTGACATTAAATCCAATGGGTTTTTTTCCACTAAGTCCTTATTTTTTATTTGAGAGATTTTTGTTCTAACACAACATTGATTCTCCTCAAATACCCAGATAACTTCCCCCAGTGAATTAATTACCCCAAAATAGGTAAAGAAAATTACCTGATAGAATTATTATACATGTCCTTGAAACCTGTGCTTTTTTTTAAAGGAGTCTTTTCCCTAGTGACTGGCTGAATTACACTACACCTCCCACCTGTGCTCGGAGCAGTAAGAGTAACTTCCCAGGCTGCCTCTTGGCATAATGCAGAACTTGTTTAACGGGGAAAGAGTAAAGTGACTGCCTCTAGCCCCAAGTAGGGAGAGTATATCTATGTGCCATATTCCTGTGATGCCCAGCAGAGGCAAAGGGATGGGTCTGGTAGACCAAAAGCCCAAGGATGGAAATGGGTCTTTTAGGAGCAAGAAAGCAATTATAGGATCAGTTCCCTCAGAGAATTTTCAACATTAACTGCTGTACAGTATGACTCACAAAATCCCCTCCTGCTAAAAAGGTCTCAGACTATGTAGAGCAGTTCTGACCATCCTGAGGGTACAGTTCCCCCCTATCACTATCCCCATGCTTCCCTAATTTCTTTCTGGTCAGAGGATAGCACTTAGATATCTATTTTCCAAGTGTGGGCTCAGTGGAGTGGATTTAATGTCATATCATTTTGAAAGGACATGTTTTATGGTGCTGAGCTCTCATAGTCACACCTTATAAAAATTGCCCATTATTAACCCAGCTGTCCTATCCTCTCAAAGTGTCAGCCAGCCAGAGGAGATTAGAGGCCTCCACCTGGGATAATGGCCTAGTTTTCCCCCAGTTAATCTCCTAATTAGTTCCCAGGCTCAAACACCCCTCCCATTCCCACCCCTTCAGTTAATCACTTTGGTAATGCCCTAGTTGTGCACTGAATACGCCTGAATTCTGATCATGCAGCCCCCTTACATGCCCAAAACAAGGAGCTACCCAGAATTCAGGCTCCCCAAGGATCTCCCACAATCCAACCATTCTCTAATATAAACTGTAGCTTTTGAGTCTTGCCTCAATTAAGTTCATTTTGAAAAACATGTTTAACTTCCACTTGTGTGTAAGGCATCATACTAGACAGAGACAAAAAAGAAACAGAGCCTGCCATGTTTACATTTTCCTGGGAATATATACCATGTACACAAGTTAAGTATTGTGCAAGGGAAACTGAAGAGGGAGAAAGCATAAATTACTGAAGAAATAGGAAGGACTTCATGGAGGAAGTAGCATCTGAGTTAACCTTGAAGACTGTAAAGTCAGAGGATTTGGATTCAAATCTTCCATTTACTGCCTTGGGCAAGTCCTTTCTGGGCCTAATTTCCTCAACTAAAAAAAAGAGGGGATTGTAGAGGTGACCTCTGAGATACCTTCCAGCTCTGAATCTTATGCTCCTATGCCTAAAAAGGATACTAGAGAAGGTAGAGAAGAGTGCTTTCCAGGTACAGATTTGTGTAAATACTTGGAGGGAAAGATAAAGTTAAGGGAAGGAACACAGAAAGAGGATATTATGTAAGTCAGATTGGGCAAGATCTGAAATGCCAAGCTCAGTGTTTGCAGTGGGGAGTCTTGAAGATTTTTTAGCATGGTCAGCCCTGTGCTTTAGGAAGATTACTTTCATAGCAGTGTGGAAGGTGGATTAGAGAGGAAAGAGAATGGAAACAGGGAAACCAATTAGTTTTATTATAGTAAATAGAGAATAAACAGTATGGTGAGAGGTGGAGAGGGCTTGAACTGAGGTAGTGATAATAAGTGGAGAGAAATGGGGCCAACACAAGAGTTGTTTATGGGAGTTTATGAAATCTCCCAGGAAGGAGTGAGAGAAACAGACAGAAAGAAACACTCACACTAACCAGTCTGTGAAGGAGCAGAATGAGAAAAGAGTAGTATGATGGAAGCCAAAGAAGTAGAAAGTGTCCAGAAAGATGAGTGGTCAGCCATGTCAAAAGCCAAAAAGAATGAAGACTAAAAAAATACCAATTAGTGATGAGTTAAGAGACTGGTGGTAGATCATTTTGGAGACAGCATTCTTAATAGAATTATAATGTCAAAACCAGATTGTAAGAGATCAAGAAACATGTGTTGAGGATGTAGAAACAGCAAAGGTAGAGGATTCTTTCTACAAGTATGGTAGTGAAAGAAACGAGGGTTTATACAATAACTTGAGGTGATGGTCAAGTAGAGGGTTTTTAAGGGTAGAAGGGACCTCAGCATGTTTCCTCAACAGCAGGAGGAAAAAGAGGTAGTAGTTGCTGAGAGATTAGGAAGAACGGTGGTGCAGTAAACTCCTAGACAGTTAATCAAGGAGGAATACAAGTTTTTCCATGAAGCAGTGAGATTAGATAACATGAATATGTGGTGGATCTAGGCCATGTAGTGTTGTGACTTTCCCCAGTGGTAATCAATAACTTGGTTGTTCAAGTAGAAGACAGAGGTGACAGGAGAGATCCAGAATTGCAAAGTTGCAAAGTATGAGTGGTCCAAAGGGGCAAGGAAGTAAAGAACAGTGAAATGGTCACCTCTAGGGTTAAGATTATGAAGAAAGAAAAGTAGGGCTAGAAAAGGGTTGATAGATTAGGAGACCAGGGATTTTATTTCCTTCTCAGCCGTGTAGCATTGGAACAGGCCTAAAGTTCATAATCTGTCAAATATTCTTGAATCCAAAAGCTCAGTAGAATCTGGTTAGGTTCAAGAATTTGGTAAATAACTCCCAATACTGAGTGTCCTGGGGCTGACACTTGAGACCAGACTCTACCTTAAAGTACACAGAAAAAAGCTCAGAGATACCAGAGAGCTTCTCTTCTCCTGCAGGAACTCGAGAGACTGGAGGTGGAACGGGTAGAGATGATTCGGCAACATCTTTGCCAATACACACAGCTGCGGCACGAGACAGACATGTTCAACCAAAGTGTAAGTTCCTAACCTTTAGATTTCTATGACCTAGTAGATAGGAGAGTGTACCAGCAAGAGATAGGGAACAGGATCAGTGCACTGAGGGCCCAAAGGTAGACCAGATAAGTATTCAGCAAAGGAATCTGCTTTTAGCATGAGAAATAGGCAGAACACAGCATAGTGCAATGGAAAGAATACTGACTTTGGAGTCAGAGGTTTGAATCCCAGTTTTGTTTCTTACTGCCTCCATGACCTAGGACAAGTCACTTAACTATCTGGGTCTCAGTTTTCTCACCTGTAAAATGAAGAAGTTGGACTAGATCATCTAAAAGCACCAAATCCATGATCCAGTGGAAGCAGAATGAACTCAATTTTCCCAGAAGCCATTCTCAGCTTGTATAATGAGAACCTGGAAATCACTTCCACTTCTATACAGACTATAAAGCATTTTCCTCACAGCCCAGTGAAGAATGTAATTACAAATATTGTGATCTTTGTTTTAAAGATGAGAAAACAGGCCTGGAGAGAAGTGATTTTTTTTCATGGTTTGTCACCTGAAAGGGCTGAAGGCTTCTTTCTGACCAGCAGCAAACCTGTTGGGTATCATCACTTTTGAAACTCAGCTCCAGACTCTATCCAGTATTGTGCTAGTAAGTCTGTCACCTGCCATTTATAAAATTCCTGCTATGTGCTAGGCACTGTGCTGAGCACTGGGGATACAACAAAAGGCCAAAAAAAAAAAATTCCTGCTCTCAAGGAGCTCACTGTCTAATGGAACTGGTCAGAAGAAAGTTTTCATTCCATAGCTAGACTGCAAAGACAAATCACCCAACTATGCAGGGACAATCAAGTCCCCCAAAATTTCTTTAATATCTATCTGGTCCTCAGTGGGGTTGGAAGACTAAAAAGCTTTGGACGCCAAGGGATTAGGACATTGGTGGACTTTGGACATGGACAAATTAGAGTGTTGGTGGATAGCTACCGCTGACAGATGAAAGCTGTTAGCTTTTGATTCAGCGTCGAGGAAGAAATTAACAGCTACTTTCGTCCAGAGACATTTTAGGGTGAAGGAATCATTTAACATTGGTGGGCCCAGCTGCATCCTACAACACCAAAAGCACGTGGCTTTGCAGAAGGCAGTGAAGTAGGGAGCTCTGATGAAGTATGTACCATGGCCTACTACCTAAAGGAAAGACCAACATGATCTCATCTTTGTTATACCATTTCCTAAAAGCTTGTCATCTGCATTCATATATTCATAGAATCACAAAAAGTTAGAGCTGGAAGGAGCCTCAGTCCAACCCCCTCATTTCACGGAGGAAACCAAGACCTGGAGAGGAAAAATGACTTACTAAGATAGTCGGGACTGGTACAGATAGTCCTTCTGACTATTTTTTCCAATTTTTCTTTCCATTCCTCGAAATAGTCTCAGAACATTTTATTAGGGAGCAACAGTTGTGACGTGGATCTGGTTCAGAGAATATTAATGATAATAACTTACATGTCCTTAGCACCTTAAAAGCATTTTCCCCCAAATGCTTTATGAGGTAGGTAGTAAGATATTAAGAAGCAGCTTGGTGGCACAGCAGATAAGAGTGCTTGACCTGGAGTCAGGAAGATAAGTCTTCCTGAGTTCAAATCTGGCCTCAGACACTTGCTAGCTATGTGGCCCTAGGTGAGTCACTTAACCCTGTTTGCCTCCGTTACCTCATCTATAAAATGAGGTGGAGAAGGAAATGGCAACCTACTCCAGGATCTTTGCCAAGAAAACCCCAAATGGGTCGTGAAGAGTCAGACACAACTGAAAATGACTGAACAACAACAAATGTAGGTATAATTCTTATTTTATAAATGAGGAACCAGATTCAGAGAAGGAAAGTGATTTGTTCAGTCACACAGCTAATAGGCACTAGAGCTGAGGTTTGAACCCTGGTCTCCCAACTCCAAGTCTAGTAGTGCTCTTTCTACTACACCAGGCTTCTAACAGAGAAGAGACCCCTAGCCTCTTCTCCTCATAACCTGACCTCTGACTGTCCTTTCCTCTCTGTCTTCTTTAGACAGTAGAACCTGTGGATCAACTCCTGCGGAAAGTGGATCCTGCTAAAGACAGGGAGCTGTGGGTGAAAGAACACAAAACTGGAGATATCCGACCCGTGGATATGGAAATCTAGACTGAATGAGTCATTCCTTGAATGGGTTTATTGTTGGGGTTTGAGGATCCCACCAGGAGAAGGGGCTCTTTCTTTGGGGCCTATTGTCATGCTGGGAAGGATTTGTGCTACCATCCCACCCATTGTCCTGTTTGGTGAGGTAGTTGGAGTGTCTCCGTTCCCCACCCCAGACTCAGAAGCAGACACATACACCCCTGCCTTTATTGCCATCACTAGAGCCCCCAACTCCCCGTCCTGTGCGGTTCTGAGAGCAAACTGAAGACTTCATTTTCTGGAATATGGCAGTACTCTTGTTTATACTCATGTAACATACTCAGACCCAGCTGTATAACATGCTTGTGATTCTTGAGGAGTCACAAGGGCCCAGTCCTCAGCAAACCTAAAGGCTCCTCCTCTCCATGGAGTCTAACAACTAGGAGAGGTTGTCAACCCCTTTCTCCAAAATGAAGTGGACTGGGGTGGTGGGAAGTACCCCCATAGATAGAACATCCCTTCTATATCTATCCAAATCCTTTTTTTGTGACCTGTCTGGTACTGGGAGCCCTTCCCATTGGCATCTTCTGTAACATTTCATCATAGTATCACCCGCTGGGGCCTAAGAGGGAACACTGGAAAGGAGCACCTGCTTCTCTTATCACAAAAACAGACCCTGCCCTTCTTTTAAAACCTACAGTGATAATGGTGGAACTACCTCATTAGGCAAACTGGTCCCAATTTTGAGTGTTCCCTTTTTCCCTTCCCATTTGCCACAAATGTTTTTGTTTTTGTTTTCTTTCTGCATGGACAATGCTTCCCAATTCTTTGGATCTATATACTCATGCTCTGTTGTTCTGGGAAATATCAAGTCAACAGTCCCAGGCCAGTTTTTTTTTTTGTTTTATTTTTGTTTTTATTTTAGATTGCCCATTCTCACCATATGAAGCTTTTTGGAAGGCCTTAGTTTTCAGTGTCTCAGCCTACTCATTCCAGTGGTTTGGGAGCAGGTCTCAGGGGCAGGGTGTGAATTGCCTGCATCCTTCCCCTTCACACCATCATTTATATTTACCATTCTCAATCTAGTATTCAGAATCTACTTACATCAAAGTGATTGAGAATTTTAAGCTTTGAGGTCCAAGATGTTGGGTTTAGGATGTGATGATATGGATCCTGTATTTGACTCCCTCCCTTATGCAATGCCCCTTGGGTCACATTTGCCATCCTGTGCCATCTTACCAGGTACTGGTTATCATTTTCCAACCCAGATCTTTGATAACAATATCCTTCAAAGTTTACTCTCAGTGGGGAATCTCTCTGTGTTTCTCACCTGTGGAATCTGCCCCAACCCTGCCAATTTCTTTAATAGAGGACATGGCTCTCCCATTATGATTTCCTGGTGATGATTCTAACTGTTCTGATGCTTCCCTTCTCTTTAGCTGCTTCTCCTTACCCCTTATACTTTAACTGGCACTATACGAAGTTTGTTTTTCTCTTTTCAGTTACTCATTTTTAACCTTTAGTTCTGTGAACTAGTTCCCAACAAAATCACAACCAAAAGGCCAGGGATTGATTGGAATGTTTTTGCCATTGCTACCTTCAGTACGTAAGATGCCTTCTTCCTCATTTTTATGTTGTACATCTCTCCCACAGCAGCAGCCCTGAAAATTAGCCCCTCGAAGTCTCCTGAAATCATATGTGTGTCTGAGTGTGATAATTTAAGGGTGGGAGCACACCCATTAAATTTTAATGCTCATACATTGGATTTCATAGACTCTGTGAGCTAGGAGGAACTTTGGTAATATCTAGTCTACCCTGCCATAGGATCAAAGATCTAGAGCTTGAAAGAACCTAGGAAGCTATGTGGTCCAATCCCTTCATTTTACAGATAAAGAAACTGGGGCCCCGGGAGATCAGGGGACTTACACAGGCAGTAAGTGTATAGTTTTACTCTGAAGCCTAAAGAAATTAAGGATCACAGTTAGTGGTAGATCTAGGGCAATCTAAGGATTGCCGGTATTTTCTGTCCCCTGCTTATGACCTTAAATTTGCATCTGTGTAAGTTGTACTTAAATGGTATCCACCCACCCCATCCTAGGGCAGGAATGTAAGGTTTTACTGGTTGTTTCTTTCAGGCTGCCATGGCTGCCACAGTATTTCATTAGTTGGGTCCTGTGAATCCTTCTGCACAGTGCATGTGAGCATGGAGTATCTCACTCCTCTTACCATTTTTTGGGTTTTGTTTTTTTGTTTTGTTTTGTTTTGTTTTTTGAAGATGGCTAAGCTACTAAACTAATAAGAAGGTGGTCACCTTTTTTATTTTGATTAAGATCCTAGGGAGGAAGTCAATTTTGGGAAGCTGGCAGTGTGAACAGAATCACAGTGGTTTGATGTTCTACAGAGATGAGGAAGAATGGGTGATTAGTGATACCCAGCTACTGCTCATATGATTGTAGTTCCTTGGTTTCTTTCTTTTTTTTTTTTTTTTTTTTTTTTTTTTACAAAATAAGAGGTGGGTAGGCTGGAAGAGCAGAGTTGAAGGGGACTGAGTGGATGAAGAATCACCTTTGGCTCAGTAAATATATGTTAACATATTTTTCAAGTGCTAAACAAAGGATAAGTAATACTGTTATTAATCCAGTTATTCCAATGAATTGAGACTTGATTTCAGTCTCCTTCATTCTAGTCTTTAGGGAACCTAAGTTTTTTTTTTCTCTCAGTACAGGATCAGTATACCTTTTCTTCCTTTTCTTCCTACTCGCAAGGTACTGGCAGGTCATTTGTGTACCATCACAAAGCAGGTTCTGCTCTGCTTCCTAAAAAAGCCACAAGAGCTTGTGATAGCATAGTAATGTGGATTCAGATCCTGGCAGTTAAGCTCAACCATTCTTCTGCAGACTAATAAAACAGTCATTTGCAAAAAAAAATGACAGCTTCATTCACCCTGCCTCCAATTCATCATCCAAGTTTTAGTGTCTATTTCAAAAGATGTGAATTACTGTTCACAGAAGGATGTCTTTAATCAGAATGAGCAGCGTAGATTTCTTGGAATTAGGATCTTCTTGTTTGCTATCTGTTAAAAATTTTTGATTTGATTGAGTGTAAGAGACACAGCCTGAACAGGCATGAATGGATTGCCATCCATACCATTGTAGACAGTGCCCCATCATAGATCTTACTGAAGTATTTTGAAGCTGCATAAGTAGAAGAAACTTAGGCTATTAGAATCAGATGAAGGTGCTTGCGTGTTCAGGGACATGAATAACACAAACTCCATGGAGCTGTCCGAGGGCAGCTTATGAACTCTTGCATACTAAATAAGTCAAGTGTTTACTGAGGACCTATTGTATACCAGGATCTTTCTTCAAATGATAAAGAACAGTATTCCTAAAGCTTCTGTATGGAACATGCTGAACATTGATATACTTCATGTGTTAAAAAAAAAAAAAACAAACAATAAATCCCCAACAAAGCCACTGGCATTCAACATGGATTGTCCTGTTGCCATAGCAACCCTGTAGTTGATTTTTCCCCCTTTAGAAGCAGACTAGCCTTACATCCACTGATGATAAAAGTTATGACTTATAACTCTCTTTTCCTAATTACTCATAATCAGGATTTCAACATCCCTAATATAAATTGACAGTGTAATTAAATGGGGTGGGTTAGGGAAAGGAAGGTGAAGACAAGACTTTATTAACTGACTGACCAATGCTTTATCCCCTTAGTTTTATCTTTTGGGCCCTTGTCACAAGTAGCCACTTCTTTGTTAGAGCTAAAAATCTAACATTTGTTAGTAAGGGAAGCAAACATGAACAGTTACTAAATTTGTGAATTTATTTTGTTCACATTTATATTTTGAAAAAGAATTGTTTTTTAAAATTAAGATCAAATGCCCAGTTAGTGGTGTCAGCAAGTGAAAGTATTGGCTTAGCCTGAGTTCATTGGAATTTGGAAGTCCAAGCACAGAAATTCATATATTTGCATTTTCCCCTGGCCTCTGTGAGCTTTAAGGAATGACAGACTATTTTGTTTCTAACAAATGAGTAGCCTTCATTTTAATAATGTAAATAGGACCCTAGTTAATTAATTTGCACAATTAAGTGCTTTAAGAGGTATATTATATTAACTTGCTACATCATCATTTAAGAAAGATAAGGTTACAATACCTGTTATCAATCATTCTTCTCCTATACTCCTGCCTCCAGGAAGAAAAATGCCCTACCTAGTTTCTTTAAAGGGATGATTTGCATTGGATATTGGCTTCTGGTCCCTCCATCTTCTGCTCATTTTTACAGATATTTCTAGCCTATCCATTCTGGTTGTAAATATGCTTCATCTTCAAATACAGCAGTACTCATGAGCTACATTTTATTCTTGAACTTCCATCTCTAGTATTAAGGGAGAAATATCTCCTCTTCAAGTTCTTGTGGTGAGTAATTGCTACCAGATATCTATTTACCACCATGCAGAAATTATAGAGGTAAAAACCTAGGTTTGAACATAAGTTGAGGCCTCAGAAAAAACCTGAACAATCATGAGGATTCTGACAAGGCTTATTATAGAGAAGGCAAAAAAAAAAAGTATGTCAGAATGACAGAAAAATAATTATTTTGCTTATTGCAATCTTGTATTTTCCTCTTAGGCCATAAAAGTTGAAGGGAAAATAGATTCCTTTAATGTCATAAAAATTGAACAAACTTAGAGTCATAATCTCACACATCCCCATAGGAAACAAACTTCATCAAACAATAAGTATATTAAATCAGGTTACAGATTAAACTACATTTAGAGGATTCACTAATAGGCTAATTGAAGAGGAGGAGGATTTATAAGTCTCCAAGAAGTAAGGGACAGTTGAGATTCTGTCTCTGACTTCTTATCTATGGAATGCTTAAGGACGTAAGTAAATTATCACATCCTATAGGAAATGTTTCAATCATGTGAGGTTAATATTAGGATAGACTTTTAGTTAACCAAAATTTGCAGAATGAATGCCATTGAGTCCCAAATAATAAAAGGAAATCAAAAATGCCTATAACATTGGTTTACCCAAAACCAGTTTTTTTTTTCATGTGTTTCATGGCACTATGTATCTTTCTACCTATGCTATAATGCCTGGCCGGTTGGGTCTCTATATCACTATGATTGTATCAGTAACACTGAAGGACATTTAGTGAACACCAAAGGTAGCATGGTTAGTAGGAAAAGCATTGGACTAGAAGACCTGGGTTCCTGTCCAACCACTTCTTTAAAACAATTGAGTGACTTTGAGTAAATCTCTTCATCTCTGTGAGCCCTAATGCCCTCAGCTATATAAAAGAGGGTTGAACCCAACCAGACTATCTCCTTATTGCACCATTTCCAGTTTTGTGTAAATTACTTTACACATGGCCAAACCATGTCTGGGATCCTTCACCCTATCTTTGACCTGACACAGTCTTTATAAAGTTTCTGGCTAAGTTTTAGGAAAGGAAACCCATTTCATCTTTGAAATCTGAAAAGTTTGAAAACAATAGTCTTCTTAGAATTCAAGCTGAGGCAGAATAATGAGCCCATAGTGCTATCAGTAATAGAGTAGACTCCTCAACAGGACCCACCCAATGGACCTAGCCCTAGGTCTTTACCTACTGTGTCTTATGTGGTACATGCAGGAAAAGTTATAGTCTCCAGACCTAGATCTCTGAAGAGGTAGAGAAACCAGGCAGCTTACAACCATTTATACTCAGCTACCCACCCCTACACCTACAATTCATGTAGACAATTCTCTACGCTTCAGGATTTCTCAACAGCTATCCTGGCCTGTACATTACTCAAAATGATTGACATAACCCCATTCCCTTCCAAATGTTCATCTGTATCATACTTTTAGGCCTTAATGAAAAGTGATTTCTGGAAGACAACCTGGAACACAGGACATTTGGTATACTCAGAATCAAGAAGAACAGTGCACAGGGCAAGGGAGTCAAGTGGGTTCTGGATTGGAATTTGGAGGCCTTTTCCACGGGTTGCCATCTGGCTTAATTTCTGTTAGGTTCAGTGCATCCTCCCTCTATCTATACATGTGTAGTGCAAACCACCTCATTTAAATCACAGCATGTGTATTAGAGGACAAATAATTCAGATAATGAAACCAAAGCATCCTTCCTAAGGCTTTGGGACTTGGAACAGTCTGTCTTTTCAGGAGCTTCTGTAGGGAGCTATTTCTTGGGGGATGGTCAGGATAGCTTAATATCTCTTACCTTAGCCTTCATATAAGAGGAGGTGTTGAGTTATTCCCCTGAATGCTCTCAGTTCAAGCAATCCTTCTATCATTACCAAGATTGTGAAATGAGGAATTCAGGGACATAAGGGTGCTTGTAAATTGGTTGGTAGTTGGGGAGTGAGACACCTACGCATGCCTTGGTGGAAGGTGGCTTACTCTGGAGGTTTGGGGGTCTTGGATTTTGGTCCATCTCTGCTGGTAGTTTGCTATATGATATTGGGGCAAGTAATTTCACCTATTCCAGCACACTGGAGTATTTGGAGGGAACCATCTGGGACTTGTCTAGAAGTCTCCTCACATCTTTACATAGTTTAATTTAGTTTTGTTTTATAATAGGCACCACCCGGTATCTGGTATCTACTGATGCCAAGAATCCTTCATCTAACACTAGTGGTTCTGTCTGTTAAATGAGTTCATATTGGGTGACCTCTGGGGTACTTCCTTAGAACTCTATGTAGTTCTTTTTCCCTCCAACTCATCACCACCACCATCACTCCCCTCCTTTGGGATACTGAGGGGAAATTCTGCTGCAGACACTAGTGGGGAGTAAGGAACTGAAATGAGGGAAGGGAAGTCAGTAAAGTGAGCATTTACAGCTGCTGGCAGGAGGCAATGTCCCCAGGGTGCAACTCTTTCCATTTTTCCAGTGATTCTATACCTTCCTCCCCCTCAGGATCAATGCTGGATGGGAGGCAGTCATTCCGGAGACATGAGCGTACTGCCTTCCAGTATCAAAGTGGAATTTTCTAACAAAATAAACTTGCTTGTTTGGTCTGTTTTCTGTAACTTTTGCTAAATACTTTATACGTTTTTAAAGTTAAAAAGCTGTGTCTCCTGCCAGCATTACTCATTCTGGTATGAATGTGTTTACTTCACATTCTATATCTTTCCATCCTCTTTGGCTTCATAGATTGGTAAATATAATTGATGTAATATAATTTATAAGTAACACTGTTGCAACTCTGATCTCTTTGGAACCTGTAACTTGTTTTTCTTCCCATAATGGCATTAGTGTGTATTAAGGCTGAAGAATTAAATGTTTAAAGGGTTTTAATTCTGAATTTGTTATATATAATTGTTCTGTATTATTATAAAGCATTTTCATGAACTTAAACTCTATTTCTTTATATTTTTCTGCAAGTTGGTGTATACACTTCAGATGCTTAGAGTCATTCCATGTAAAATAAACTGTACAGAGACACATATTCCAGTTGTGGGGTTCTTTCTGGAGCCTTTTCTTTCTCCTGTCCCCCGACTTGGCAGTCATTTCTCCCCAATACATCTCACCAAGGGATTTGAAGGGCAAGCCCAACTAACTGCGTAGTTCCACCAATACAAGAGGTCATCCCATCCTGATCTCCTGTAGTCTCCTTCCCCTCCATATGACCTTCAGCTTTCTTTCATCTCCCATGTGGGTCACTCTTCTCTACAAACTTCCTTCCTCAACTCCCTCCTTTAAGTCTCCTGACCTATTTATCTCCTATCCTGTTTTGTTCTTACCCCTTCAATTCATTCAGTTTATTAAGTGCATACTGCCATGTGCAAGGTATAACAAGGCAATGTGGTGGTGCAATGAATAAGAGCAGGCCTCAGGGTCAGCAAGGCCTGGATTTGAATCCTGCCACCACACAAATTGGTGGTGTGGCCCTAGGCAAGACACTTAACCCCTCAGTGCTGTAGGCAATTTTTTTAAACCTATGAATTTCAGAGCAGTAGGCCATCTGCATTAGTAGAGGGAGTTCTTCATGGGGAATTCTTTATAGCAATGCAGGCCCAGTAATAAATAGTAATAATGTGCAAGGGACTCTGCCCAGCAGAGAAGGCTTTTCCAGAGGTCTTCTGCGTCAATCTCAGATTTCTCATGTCCTTTGCCTGAGGAGCCTTGTAGTAGACTGGAGTGAGAGAGGGTCAGCCATCCCTATGTCCCCTGATCTATATACAGTCCAGGGCAGGAATGGAGAAAGAAAGGGATAAAGTAGGCAGTGTGAATCAAAGAGTGTGTCCAATTAATAATCAGGGCTGTAAGCAGATTGTGCTGCAGCTAGACCACACCAGGGAGATGTGGATTTTTACCACAGGGAGGCCAGAAGAAGGAGACTCAAGTGGTTATTTCCTGGGCAGAGTAATCTCAGAAGTTGAAATTATCTTGGGGTTTTGAGAAGAGTTTATGATCCAAGCACAGACTTAACAAACACGTTCATAATACATCATTTTCAACAACTTGTTTGCCTAAGGAACATAAACTTTCCCTTGGATAGAAGATGTTTATGCAGGTTTTCAAATAAACTTCTAGGTCATGACTCCCAACAGCATCAACACAGCTGTCTGTATATGTACTCCTAGTATAGCTCAGTTTCCTCAGAGCATATATCAATCAGCAAAAGATTAGGGTCCAACGAATTTTGCCTGGGCCACAGATTCCAATCCTAGAAGCCTTAACTCTGGTCCTTTCATCTCCCATGTGGGTCACTCTTCTCTACAAACTTCCTTCCTCAACTCCCTCCTTTCCTATGGTAAGGCTGAATGGTCAGGAAGCCCTGGGCTGTTGACTGTTCTCTGGCCCTTCCCAACCCCTTCACATCTTTCCTCCTGCTTCTACTTAGACCTTGATTTCTTCTTCCAATGTCTTGGCTTCATTCTTCATCCTCAGCTTTAGCCCAGAACTCCTTACCCACCCTCTACTGATTCGGCGCAGATCTTCTGACTTGCTGCCACCAGCCAGATAAGAAAAGGGCTGAGATGAGAGTGAGAGTGACATAATCTGGAAATGGATGTGCCCCCAACAGGAAGAGAGACCTAGTCACCTACACCAACACCGCAACCTCCCTGAATCTTTCTGGGACACTAGACCCATGGTTGGAGAAAAGACCCACCAGTTATAAGAACTTTCCTCCCTGGGACTGATAGCCAAAAAGAGGGAGAACCTCAAAAAAATTTAGAGAATTTTCAACAATCTGAGATAGAGTCCAGGGATCAACGAATACTAGAATTAGAAGGAACCTTAGGCATTATCTAGTTCAATCCCCTCATTTTGAGGAGGAAGTTGAGGTCCAAAGAATTTTAAATAACATGCCCAAGGTCATACAGGTAAGTAACTCATATGCTTTAGACTAGGTGGGTATTGAGATTCTTTCCAATTCTGAAATGGGAAGATTCTGTAAATGGCAGAGCCAGAATTTGAACCTAGATCCTTGCACTTCAAACTCAACCTTCTTTCCACCATAGCATAGTGCTTCCCTGGCTTGTTCAAGATCATACACTAGAAAATGGCAGAACCAGGCTTTAATGGAGATCCGATTCTAAGTTTTCTTCCCACTATTCCATGGAAATCTTCTGTCTTCTTCTCAGTCACCTCCTCTCTGAACTCCTGATCAGAGCAAAGGGAAATTAGTTGAGTGTTTTAGGACAATCACGTTTTTGCATGTTCACTCAGTGACATACTACTTCGAACTCCCTTGCTAATTTGGCCTCTGTGGCATCCTGGAGTCCTTAAAATGAGGTTGGGGAGCCACAATCAGGATTACATAGGACTTAGCAGCTAGTACGTTAAAGGGTCAGAGGGAATGGAACATGATATTCTGGCAGGCAAAGGAGCTAGGACTACAACCAAGAATCACTTACCTGGTGAAATTAAGCATACTACTTAGAAAGAAAAAAAAATGGTCATTCAATGAAACAGAAGAATTTCAGGCTTTCATAAGGAGAAGACCAGAATTGAACAAAAAATTTGATCTCCAATATCAAGACCCAAGAGAAGCTTAAAAAGGCAAAAAGGGGGGGGGGGCCATAAAGGATTCAGTGGAGCTGAACTGTTTACATCCCTACATGAGAAGATGGTATTTGTTATTTTTTTTTTTTGGCAAGGCAATTGGGGTTAAGTGACTTGTCCAGGGTCACACAGCTAGCAAGTGTCAAGTGTCTGGTCTAAGACTGGATTTGGACTCAGGTGCTCCTGACTCCAGGGCCACTGCTTTTTCCACTGTGCCACCTAGCTTATATTTGTAATTCTTAAAAATTGCTCCACTAATAGTACAGTTAGAAAGAATATATATAGGGAGAGGTACAGGTATAAGGCGAATTTCAGAGAGTGGACATTGGGCATCACTTGAACCTTACTCTCATTAGTACTGGCTCAAAGAGGGAATAATATACACAATCAGTTAAATAAAGAAATCCATTTTACAGAAAAGTAGGAGGGGAGGAGATCAAGTAAAATGGGACAGCGGGACTGATAGGAGAGAAGGCAGACCAGGGAAGGTGGTAGACATAAACAAACACTGTCAAGGAGAGAAAGGGTGAAAGGAGAGAGAGGACAAACAGGAGGAAAAATAGGACGGAGGGAAATACATAGTAATAACTGAATGTGAATGGGATGAACTCTCCCATAAAACAGAAGTGGTTAGAAGAGGGGATCAAAAACCAGAATCCTATAATATGTTGTTTACAAGAAACACACCTGAAGCAAAGAGACACACACAGAGTAAAGGTAAGAGGCTGGAGCAGAATCTATTACATGTCAGCTGAAGTTAAAAAAAAAAAGCAGGGGTAGCCATCCTGATCTCAGACAGAGCAGAAGCAAAAATAGACCTAATTAAAAGAGATAGGGAAGGAAACTACATCTTGCTAAAATATACCATATACAATGAAGCAATACCAATACTAAATATGTATGCGCCAAATGGCATAGCATCCAAATCCTTAAAGGGGAAGTTAGGTGAGTTACAGGTTCATGACCAAACAAGGCAAAGAAAGCATTACAAAATGTAAAATAGATACTTTTGATTATATTAAATTAAAAAGCTTTTGCAAAAACAAAACCAATGCAACCAAGATCAGAAGGAAAGCAAAATGCTGGGAAACAATCTTCACAACAAGTGTCTCTGATAAAGGCCTCATTTCTCAAATATATGGAGAACTGAGTCAAGTTTATAAGAATATAAGCCATTCCCCAACTGATAAGTGGTCAAAGGATATGAACAGACAGTTTTCAAATGAAAAAATCAAAGCTATCTATAGGTATATTGTTTTTGTTTTTGTTTTTTTGGTGAGGCAATCAGGGTTAAGTGACTTGCCCAGGGTCACACAGCTAGTAAGTGTCAAGTGCCTGAGGCCAGATTTGAACTCAAGTCATCCTGATTCCAAGGCCAGAGCTCTATCCACTGCACCACCTAGCTGCCCCTCTAAATCACTTCTGATTAGAGAAATGCAAATTAAAACCAGTCTGAGGTGCCATCTCACACCTATCAGACTGGCTAATATGACAAAAAAGGAAAATGATAGATGTTGGAGAAGATGTGGGAAAATTGGGACACTAATGCACTGTTGGTGGAGTTATGAACTGACCTAACCATTCTGGAGAGCAATTTGGAACTATGCCCAAAGCACTATAAAATTGTGCATACCCTTTGATCTGGCAATACCACTACTTGATCTGTATCCCAAAGAGATCATGAGAAAGGGAAAAAGACCTATACATGCAAAAACATTTATAATACCCCTTTTCATGGTGACAAAATATTGGAAATTGAGGGGATGCCCATCAAGTGGGGAATGGCTGAACAAGCTGTGGTATATGAATGGAATGGAATACTATTGTGTAATAAGAAATGATGAACAGGCAGATTTCAGAAAAATCTGGAAAGACTTGTACAAACTAATGCAAAGTAAAATGAGCAGAACCAGGAAAACATTGTAGCTGATCAACTATGAATGACTCAGGGGCAGTTAGGTTGACAGAGCACCAACCCTGGAGTCAGGAGGACCTGAATTCAAATCGGCCTCAGACACTTGACACTAGCTGTGTGGCTGTGCGACCCTGGGCAAGTCGCTTAACCCTGACTGCCTCACCAAAGTAAATAAGTGTGTGTGTGTGTGTGTGTGTGTGTGTGTGTGTGTGTGTGTGTGTGTGTATCAGGCCTGCACAAGGGTACTAAGCTTCTTAGTCACTTATTCTTAAAAGGCCAATGAGCCCTATTAGCTCTGCCTGAGAATGACAGCCTTGGGGCCTGAGGATGCCCTGAGCCATAGTTACATTCTCTATATTTTTTCACAGGCTGCCCAAAATCCTTGCATGGGCCACAAGTGGTAATATATATATATATAATATATATATATGTGTGTGTGTGTGTGTGTGTGTGTGTGTGTATACATATATATACACATACACATATGCATATATGTATATACACACACATACATGTATATATATGTAGTGATTAATATGGAAATATGTTTTACATGATAGCACATGTGTAACCTGCATCAAATTGCCTACCATTTTAGGAAGAGGAGAGGGGAGGCAAGGAGAAAAATTTGGAACCCAAAGTCTTGTAAAAATGAATGCTAAAAATTGTCTTGACATGTGATTGGGGAAAAAATAAAATACCATCAAGAAAAAAAATAAGGTGGTTGGGCCAGGTATTGCTTTAAATCCTGTAATCCTGACCCTTTTCCCCTCTTCTCCTGTATAGAGTCCCTAAAGCAGAGCTGTGACCCTGAGGGGACAGGGACCCTGGAAGTTTTCAAGTAGAGGCAGAATTATTATTTAGTTACAAGTTAGATTAGATGACCTCTGAAGTCCCTTCCAGTGATCCAATTCTGTGAGTGTACTTGCCACCAGATGGTATTTTATCCCAGTAAGAAGCTCAATAAATCAACAACAACAATAAAAATTAATTGAATAGCTACTATGTGCAAGGCTCTGTGCTAATAGGAGGACACAACACATATAGGAAGGTTCAGCTGCAAGATAAATGGAAAGGTCAAGTGGTCCTTGGGGTGCAGCCACAAAGCAGGTGGCAATGTACTTTCTTAGTACGTACTTTCTTTGATGAAATCATATTTATTTCTGATGCTGGATAATTTAACAGCGCCAAAGACTTCGGAGCAAAAAAAAAAATCATTTTTGACCCTTCAGTAACTGTGGCTGCCAAAGAGGTAAGGCTCAGCACCTATGGAGATAAACACCTGGTAAGATCTTTATAAGAATTGCTCCCCCAGATGATGCCTCCAGGAGTCAGGCTGGAAGTAGGGCCAGTGGGTTAGGGGTCACTGTCATCCCTAGACATTTGGCCGCAAGGTAATTGGCTATCTCTATTGGGGTCTAAATGAATGTGGATGTCAAAGTGATAGCTGTATATTGGCCTACCAAGCACACACCAGCAGAACCTTCCCTTTCTCCATTGCTATGATTTAGAGAATCACAAAGAGCTTCTTGGGCCCTAGGGTTCAGACATACAAAGTCACATGGTCCCTGTAGAGGTACTAGTTGAAACCTTGGGACCAATTATCCCGTCTCTCTGCACAGCACTCCCAACCCAGCTCAGTGAATCAACTTCTGACACTGCTGCTGAAGGCCTGAGCCTTTAATGGAATTAAAAGCAAATAGTGGCTTTGGGCTGTGGTTACACAAACCTGGGGTGAATTAGCTATTTGACTGAGGTCCACAGGACCTAAGGTTTCAAGTCCCATGGAAAATAATCTCCCCCATATTAGCACATAGGCAAAATTCCAAATAAATAGCCCATATCCCTGTGATTCATATGTGCTCACCAAATGGTCAATGAACAGGCATCTCCCTCCTCCTTCAGTCCCTAGATATTGCGTTGTCTCAGAATTTCTATGTGTGTTCAGTTTTGCCTTTAACAGAAAATGGGAGCAATGTTAGACTTTGTGCTCCCTATTCTTACAAAATTAAGATGTTTCAAGTCTCCTACAGTCTGTTCTCCACTTATCTGATAAAATGATTTTCTAAAGCACAGGTCCAATACTTTGTCATTCCCCTGCTTGATAAAACTGGTGGTTTCCTATTACTTCTAGGATTTAATTCAAATTCCTCCATTTGGCACTTGAAGACTTTCACAACCTGACTCCAACTTACACATCCTTACACATTACTCTGCCACACACAGTCTTGGATTCAACTGACGTCCTTGCTGTTCCTCACGCAGGACACTCAGTCTCTCTAGTCTCTGTCTTTGCACAGGCTGTCTCCCCTGCCTTTAATGAACTCTCTACTGACCTCTTAATTTTTTTTTAGAATTCCTGGTTTCCTTCAAAATTTAGCTTAAACTGCATTTGCTACATGAGACTTTTCCTTATCTCCCCATATCCTAATGCTCTCATCACCCACAAAAAAAAAATACCACCTTGTATTTTGTATGTATCTAGTTTTGTATATATCTAGTTTTATATGAAATACCTCCCCCCCTTCCCTTTAGGAAGTTAATTAACTATTTGAAAAACACTTATTAGGGAGGAATCTTTTAAGAAAAGGTAATTACCACTCCCTTCAATGGCACAACTTTCCTGAGCCTCCAAATTAACACACTCAATACCTATTGATAGTCAATGTCCATGTAATTGAACCTTTAAAACAAGAAAAAAAAACTTAACAGAATAGTGAAGCCTACTCCCCCCCTCCAAAAAAAACCAATAGTGCAAATTATATCACTCACTAAGAAAGGTAATATGTGTGAAAAGACAAGAAGAAGAGAGGAAGACTTAGGGGAGAGTCACTTTAACACTTTTTTCATTTTAGGGGGCCTGATGCATGAAATTACTAGTACTATAAAAATAGTAAATCCCAGTACTCTGAAGGAGTTTAACACAACAGGCACCAGCTACATAGCTTCAAAAGTGACCTCACGGGGCAGCTAAGTGGCACATTGGATAGAGATCCGACCTTGGAATCAAGAGGACTGAGTTCAAATCCGGCCTCAGACAGTTGACACTTACTAGCTGTGTGACCCTGGGCAAGTCACTTAACCCCAACTGCCTCATCAAAAAGAAAAAAGAAAAAAAGTGATTTTATAGTGGCTCTTAGTTTGCAGGGTTAGTTAGCACAGTGTCTGGTACATAGTAGATGTTTGATAAATGCTTGTTGGTTGATTTATTGACTGTAAGATTGGTCAGCAAGACTGTTACTGGACATAGTGGCAAGTACCAGTAATAAGCAGTTGCAGCTAGGGAGGTTAAAGCTGGTGGGTCACTTAATCTTAGGAGCTCTGAGCTGGAATATGGCTCAAGCCAGCAGATAGAGTCTCATCACTAAGGCTGATTCCAATATGGTGAGCCTCTGCTAGTGAAGTAGCCATCAGGTTGCCTGGAAGGAAGGGGAAGAACTGGCCCAAGTTAGGAATGAAATATGCCAAAGTGTTGGAGGGGATCAGCAGTGGAGTCAGCCATAAGTGACACTTCCAGCATGGACAACATAAGGAAACCCACTCTCCAAAAAAGATCTAGACAAAATTGTAACCCCTGAGGGACCCCAGCCTCCACTTTGTCCTGTTTTATTCTCTTCTCACACCAAAGGTACTTGAATTCTCATTCTATGTCCTTTCTTGCCTCATCTCTGACCCTATCCCTCTGCTGCCTGAAAAGTGACAAATATCAGACATTTATATCTTATTGTGAAACCTCCTCTAGGGGCATTACATATTTCATCAACAATGAAGAACTTTTTAAAAAGAATTTTGGGCAGCAGTCAGCAAGGATGTACACGTGGAGGATGCTACCTGAAGGCCCACTCTAGCACCCAGAATTAACCCTCTACCTCTGCTCCCTGTGGAGCAGGAGAGCCCAGGTCCTAGTTCTGACTTTGCTTCTCTAAATGTGACCTTAAGAAAGGCCCTTCACCTCTTTGGCCCTAAATTTCCTCAAAAATAAAATGAAGTGAATTGGAGCAGGTGATTTCCAGCTCTGATCGTACATGATTTTAAGAATGGCCATGAAGAATAGCAAGTGTGGGAAACCTATTTGCTCAATTAATGATGAATTTATAGAGGGAGTTTGGGTAAAAGATAATGAGAAGTCAGTGAATATTAGGGTCTTGGAGAGTCTGGAAAAGGAACAAACAAGCAAAGAAGTAAAGCTAGGAGGAAATAATATGTGCCTACTGTGAGCAGGGGACTATGAGAGTCCTTCAAAGAAATACAAAGTTGAGGTAAGACACATTCTATACCCTCATGGACCCTCCAGGACAATATGGTGATACCACCAGAACATCAAATGGTAAGTGTGAAGGGGATGCATGTTTTTTATACGTTGACTATCAAAGGAAACTCCTTTTGCAAAGCTTCATTAAAAGCTCTTTTTCTTTTGTAAAAATAAGAATTAGCCTCTACATTCTGAGCTCCTTAAGATCATGATAGGAGGGATAGGGCTTACAGGACACCATTTCTAAGCCACAAGAGAGTTCACAGTACCTCCTATTAGTACATGGGGGCAGAGAAGTTGCTATCAGATTAGTAATGACCACAAATCCCTCTAATCTCCCACAGGCTTTGTCTTAGTTGGAAAACCCTGGACCCTGTATCAAGCCAGCCTCAGTTCAGAGAGAGGAGACTAGCTGACACTTAGCATTTACTACTTGTCTGGTACCCAACCTCACTCACCCATGGGAAACAGCAAAAGTGGCTCCCTGTCCAAAGAGATTTTGGAGGAACTGCAGCTGAATACCAAATACAAAGAGGAGGAACTATGTGCCTGGTACCAGTCCTTCCTGAAGGAGTGCCCCAGTGGCAGGATAACCAAACAGGAGTTTGAGAGCATCTACTCCAAATTTTTCCCAGATGCAGACCCGAAGGCCTATGCACAGCATGTGTTCCGCAGCTTCGACACAAACAGTGATGGGACCCTGGACTTTAAGGAATATATCATTGCACTCCACATGACCACAGCAGGCAAAACCAACCAGAAACTGGAGTGGGCGTTTTCCCTCTACGACATAGATGGCAATGGTGCCATCAGCAAAAATGAAGTGCTTGAGATCATAATGGTATAGTCTATCTTCTCTCCCATCATTGGTTGGCTGGGACCCAGTGGAGCCAATTACATAGAATCACCGAACTTTTTCCTTATGGAGCCGGAGCTAGAAGGGACCTTAGAGGTCATCCAGCGCCTCCTTTTACAGAGGAGTAAACAAGTTTAGGGAGGAAAAGGGACCTGGCTGGAGCTAGTTAGCTGCAGAGTAGGGACTAAGAACTGGGTCTCCTGATTTCCAAGCCAGTGTTTTCTCATTGCACCCATGTCCTTGATCAGGGATAGCCTAGGCAGGGTCTGGGTGGGTTTGTCTGAAGGACATATGTTTTCTCTCTATGATCATCATGAATTGATTTAAATGTTATTCTTTATTCTTGTTTCCCAAACTAATCTGGCCGCAGAACTATTTCTAGCTCGATATTTTAAGTCATGAATGTTAATACCTGAGGGTTTGAAATACTCTCAAGGATGAAGGGTAAAATCAAATAAGAGAAAAATTGGTGTGGTTCAGTTGTTTCAGTCGTGTCCAACTCTTAGTGACCCCATTTTGGGGGTTTTCTTGGCAAACATAAGGGAATGTTTTGTCATTTCCTTCTTCAGTTCATTTTACAGATGAGGAAACTGAAGCAAACAGGGTTAAGTGACTTACCCAGGGTCCCATAGCTAGTAAGTGTTTGAGGCCATATTTCAAATCAGGAAGATGAATCTTCCTGACCTCAGGCCTGGCATTCTATGTGCCACCTAGCTGCCTGATGCTAGCTATGATAAATAATTTTGTCATATATACTTTCATATTTAATGTTTTAGAAGGAAGAGTATTGCCAGGAGATAAAGTTTCTCATTGACCTCTATTCATATAGCATGCAGAACACAGAAAGAGTTGTGTTTCTAATGTATTAAACACAATTATGTTATAAGTATTTTTTTCATATGGTTTTACAAGAGAATGTTCCTGATACAAGGGAAGAATCTAGGCATTTTCTAGTATTTGGATGCATTTTCTTCAGAACTGCAAATATTACAAATTCAAATTTTATAACCCACAATGAGCTTTAAATAGATACCATGTTTGAAATGTGTAAAACAGCCAACACTAAGTTAGGTAGCTTTCTAGTCTCAGCTCTCCTACTTAAAAACCAGCAGTGTGACTTTGGTCCAGTCAATTGTAGAGGAGTGGGGATTGGAGAAGAATTGAATTGAGTGACTTTTGAGATTCCTTTCAGCTCTGATGTTGTACATGGACATCAAAGACAGGCATTTATATACATAGTATCTGTTGTTCTCATTTTTTAGCTTCTTGAACTTTTGCACTTTGTCTTTTAATTTTTTCTTCCTCAGTTTCTTCTCCTATAAAATAAGGGAGCTGAACTAGATGGCATTTAAGGTCTCTTCTAGGTCTAAATCTATGCTCCTAGGATCTCCCTTCCTTTCCCTTCCCCCTCACCCCTCCATGATTGGCCTTTTACAAGGGTTTTTCTTTATAATTCTATTCTTATTATGAAGGAAGAAGTGTATTTGAGGTGGAGGGTAAGGTGGTGATTATTTGGGTTTTTTTTAAGTAAATAGTATTTTATTTTTTCTAATTACATGTAAAGATAGTTTTCAACATTCATTTTTTTAAATAAGATTTTGAGTTCCAGATTTTTTTTCCCTCTCTTTCCTCCATCCTCCCAAAGAAGGCAAGCAATTTGATATAGGTTATGCATGTGCTGATTATTTGTTTTAAGATCATACATTCTTCTATATACATTTCTTTACATTTTTTAAAGTATAAGCTAGAAAATCATTACCAAACATAAATATTTCCATAGACCAAATCTATATACATTTTCAATTGGATATGAATTTGCAAAACTCTTTTACCATGCACACAGAATGTTCTTCCTGAGCATTCTGACGAATGGAACATGTTCACAGGATCACTATAGACTAGAGTGGCTGTGATGGACTTGTGTCCTCCTGGAAGAAACATGGAGAGGATCACATTTTCATATTGGCTGTGGGAAAGGAACCAAAGATAGTCTGTGTTGATTACTTAGCCAGGTATCGACAGAGTCCTTGAAACTCTAGAGATACCTATGGGGTTACCCTTATTGGGTTTAGAGGCTTTTTCGAAGGTCTGTGGGTGCTTTCTGGGGCAAGGGAAGAAAGGAAGTGGAAGGAGAAAATGAAGGCCAAGGGTGGTGGGTAGAAAGTGTGAAGTGTTACATTTTAAGTTACAGGATAATAGAAATATAGTACAATAGAAATTTTCGAGCATTGGCCTGAATTAGACATTGGAATGCCTGTGTTCTGGTCTTCCCTCTGACACTAACTTACTGTGTAACTTTAGGAATGCAACTTGCATTCCTAATCAGGGCCTCAGTTTCCTGCTATGGAAACAAAGACCCCTATGTTCCTGCTATCTGTCATGCTATGGTTCTATGATTTTAAGTTAGGGTTGGGTCCAGAGAAAAACTGGGATATTATCCAAAATTCAAATCTCTTCTCGTAGAGAATCTCTGCTCATCTCATTTTTCAGGATCCTTATCTCTTAAAGCCAGATGGAGAATGTAGAGGGCCTGGGTACTGAAGGCACCAAGACTTGTGCCACAGGGAACCTGCTGTGCCTTTGTATTTCACTCAGTGCCCCTTTTCTCCCAAGCTGTCTGGTCAAAGATATTCTGATCATTCTTTACTTCACATACAGGAAATGCTGAGATACTTATTGGGCCTCGGGGAAGACAAGTCAGGTTCTCTCATCTTTCTTGGGTTCAGGAAAGAATTTAGCAATTTCAAAATGTCTCTAGACATATAATACAGTAGGTATTGCTATGCTTGGTTGGCAGGCTCGGGTAAAGGGTGGGGAACAAAGGAGGCATTAGAAGACCCTGGTATCCTGTCCTTCTCTCCAAGCTAGGGAGTTTAACCAATAGATACAGAGGGCCAAAGGAGAAGTGGAACATTTTGGTTTCCTATCCTTGCACCCAGGAGGGGCATATGCAGGCCTCCAGCCTGCCCCAGGAATATGTTTAAAAGTTAAGACAGCCTTAAAGCGCCCGCTGTGACCCAGAGCTGCCCTGATATACACATTCCAGGTCTACATTATCCTTGGTGTAACCACTCCAGTTCAGATTTACCAGCCTGGATAAAGATAATCTGGAATTCTTCTACAGTTTATACAATCATAGAAAAATTGAATGAGAAAGAAAAATAGCTTCAAACCCATATTTTACAGAGGAAGAGATTAAGGCCCAGAAAGATTACACTTTGTAACCACATTGTATTCAATGTTACACTTTGTCAAAGTTGTTAACGGGTAATGCAGCAGTAGAAGAATAGGGAAATACCACGCTCGAGCTAGGCATTCCTCTTCCCCCAAACCTTGATCCCCAAACTGTATTGCTTGAAGTCCCCAGACCCAGTGTGGTATAATAACAAAAACTTTGATTTAGAGCTAGAAGACCTGGATTCAAATCCCTACCTGACTCCTTACTATGTGTGTGACTCTGGATAAATTATTTAACTTCTCCGAATCTTATTCTTCTCTACAAAATGAAAGGCTGTAAAAATATCTGGAGGCACCTAGGTGGTTCAATGTACAGGGTATGGGGCCTGGAATCAGGAAGATCTGAGTTCAAATTTGGCCTCAGATACTCACTAGGCACGTGACCCTGGGCAAGTCACTTAACCTCTGTTTGCTGTAATCCACTGGAGAAGGAAATGGCAAACCATTCCAGTAGTCAAGAAGACCCCATACAGAATCACAAAGAGTCAGACACAACTGAACAACAAAAGATCTCGAGGCTGCTTTCAGATCTAAATGCTGTGATACTGTGGACAACTTGAACATAGGACAGACAACATAAGACGACCGTGGTCTGAAGCCAGTCCCCTTTATCACCCCAGCCTAAACCTGAGTCACACGGATTCTCTAGGGGTGATGGGTTTGGGGATAATATCTTCAAGCACCCTGAAGTACACCACAGCCAAGCCTGTTTGGCAAACCCTTTATCCCTGGTAAGATCAATTTGTTATTCCAACACATGGACTCCTCTTTAGGATGGAGGCTGAGACGATGCATGGAGTCCCATGCAATCAAGAGCCAGATGCATTGAAGCAGATAGAAAAGCTCCGGTTCACTAAATGCCTACATCCAGCCTATGCTCTTATTTATATTATAACTGGAACCTGATGGAATTTCCACTTGATTGGGTGAAATTGTATTGAGAGTTTCTGGGGAATTAATCTAGTTCTATGTTTGAAAAGTTGTCTTGCATTTCTTTTAATTGGAGGGCCTTCCTGCCAAAGGCACCACTTAGAAAGCCATACCACATCTGAGCTAAAAGGGACATTGGGAATTATCTAAGCCAATCCTCTAATTTTATAGAGGAGGAAACTGAGGCCAGAAAGTTAAAGTGACTTGTCTTATACCATACAGGAAGTTACTGGCTGAGCCAAGACTAGAACCCAGATTGGGCTTGAAGCATGGTGGTCCTCAATACAATACAATCACTTTCAAAGCCTTTTTTTTTTTTTGTTATGAGACCTGTGAGGCCAGCTCTGGTTCTTCATGAAAAAAGCTATTTGTCAAATGCATGACTCTAACTCCTGGCTCTGCTTCCTTTTGTCATTTGGTACAGGCCATTTTCAAAATGATCCATCCTGATGACCTGAAGCATCTTCCAGAAGATGAAAACACCCCTGAAAAAAGAGCTGAGAAGATCTGGTCCTTCTTTGGAAAGAAAGATGATGGTGAAACCAGTTTTTCTATAAGCTTTTCCTTTTTCTCAGCCATAGTTATCTCTATGCAATCGCAACAGCATTTGATAGGGGGGATAACGAGCTGGCTCTTCTCATTGAAACATATATACAATGCTATTGGAAGGAAGGAGACAGATATATTCATTATGGTATTTCCAGAGTTATGAATAGAAATTATGAAATCTGAAAGTGCTATGGTCATAGAGGCATATGGTTGTAATCTTCATTTAGATTTTGAAGGCAGCAAAGCACGTTTTTCTACATAACATATAACCTCAGTAATTTGGGTTGACTGAAAGGAGAGCCAGTCTGAATTAGTGAGAACTCTCATTTACAGAATCTTTTTTAAGTAATTCAGATTTATTACTTTCAAATCAACTAACAAAATGTTGTCAGGTTTAAAGTCTATCTTTTGGATTAGATAAGAATCACTTATCATTTATCTGCACAAAAGTGGGCATGGACTGGTCTGGCATTCTCTTAAATTTGTTGGGAAGGTTTCAATTTGCCTATTTGTTTGCTTATTCTGTAAATCTTCAATTCTTTTTTCATAGCTGGGGCAAGTATTAGTTTTCAGCCTACCAGAAGGATTTGTGCTAGGATTTGTCACTAATTTCAGATAAGTGAAGTCTAAATAAATGGGTTTTACTTTTGTGCTGAGATGCTATTTAGAGAAGTTACTAGAGTTGGTCAACCCACTTCTCCCAATCTACTTTACTTTTTTAACTTATATTCTGAAAGAGAAAAGTAAAACACATTGAGATATCCTAACCATTATCCTCTTACAAACTGCAAAGGTACATCACCATTGTCAATACCACCACCATTACCACCAACTTCACCATTATTACCCTACCATCATCACAACCAGCCATCCACCACTACCATCACCACTACCACCACCAGCATCAGCATCATCACGACAACCACCATCACCCATCACAACCATCACCACCACAACCCACCACTACCATCACTGTAACCATTACCACTACTACCATAAACATCATTACCACCACTAACTATCCTTACTCCTACTACCATCATCATAGTGTCCACCATAATTACAATATCTCCTTTTCATTTCTTTTTTGTTCTTTTCATTTTGTTATCATCCTCATACGCTCAATGCATTCTGATTACTTCCTGCCCCAAGGTCTTCACTATGGCACTTCAACCCTGGACAGTGTCTCAGATTCTGAACAACTTAGGACATCCTCCTCTTATTGAAATGTACCTGTCTTTCTTTTTTGTTGGGACTAATCTGAAAAATAAATCCCAGCTAGTGTGAAGTTACTGGAGTGAAAGGGTACAGTTTGCAATGTGATAAATGGATTAATATGCTTTTCCTCTGAGATAAAATAAGTACAGTATAAAAGGTCTTCTGGATTTAATGCTGTGACCCAAAGAAAAGACTTCAATAGGAGGAGCTTCAGTCACTGTGGTAGTCCCAAAAGGCAGATGTTATTGGATAGATGGAAATTTTATCACCTGTAGACTTAGAGATAACTAAGATATTAGAGTTAGGGTGTTAGAAATTATATTATGTAGGGCAGCTAGGTGATGCAGTGGATAGAGCACTGGCCCTGGATTCAGAAGGACCTGAGTTCAAATCCGGCCTCAGACACATAACACTTACTAGCTATGTGACCCTGGGCAAGTCACTTAACCCCATTGCCTAGCCAAAAAAAAAAAAAGAAATTATATTATGGTTTCCTGTTGCATGGTTCAGTGGAAAATGTGGATTCAGAGGACCTAGGTTTAATCTTCACTCTGTTACCTGTGTGACTTTGGGCAAGTCATTTAACTTCCTTGGGCCTCAGTTTCCTCACTGTAAGATGAGGAGGTTGAACTATATGGCCTCTAAATTCCCATTTGGCTCTAAATTACAGTTTAATAGATGTTAATAGATATTTCTCAGCACATCATCTTCTTTTCTAAAGATCATAACCAGCTCTCATCTTAACCCAGGAGAAGTTAAACTAGTGGTATGATGGTCAATGTTTAACAATCAACTCTCCATTAAAAAAATGTGCACATGACAAACTTTTAAGTTTAATCAACATTATGAACATTTTTTCATCACTTTCTTAAATCTATACAATGAGCAAAACAATAAATCAAGCCATGAGTTAATAGATAGGGCAAGAACTAGCATAAACCCTGATTTGTAGCATTTGCAGATTTCCAGTTTAATAATCTTGAACCAGTGTGAGCTGGCTCCAGCACAATCCTGGGCTAAAACCACCCAACAGGCTCAACCAGGCCAACAAGACAGATGAAATATATCTGGAGAGAATCAGTGTGACACTGATAACTCACAGGTAAAGTCAAGGAACAGGACAGCATTGACATGACAAGGAAGAAACTCTATAGGACTGAGTTCCCTGCTTCCTGAGAAAGCTAGTTCCACAGTGGAACTTAGGGGGAGCTGTTCTCTGAAACTGAATGGTAGGAAGGTAGAAAAAACAAGGACTGGTTGTGTAGCATAGAAGGGTGAAAAGGTCTCCCTATCAAATGAACTGATCATAACATCAAAGAATTTTAGAGCTGGAGATCTTAGCAGCCACCAAGTCCAATCCATTTCCAAAAAATGAATCCCTGTTAAAATAAATGGGGCCAATTGTGATTCTGCTTCTGCTTGAAAACCTCCATTAGGAGGAATCCATTACCTCCCAAGGATAATCCATTACATTTTTGGATAGTGTTAATTGTTCGGAAGTTTTTCCTGATATTGAGCCTAAATTGGACTCTTTGCAACTCCCCTTATTGCTTCCTGGTTCTGTTATCTGGGGCCAAACAAAACAAATGCAATGCCTGCTCTTCGTAATAGCCTTTCAAATACTTCTCCAGGCAAAATATCTGCAATTCCTTTAACAGATACTCAAATAGCACAGACTCAAAACCTTTCAACAACTTTCTTGCCCTCCTCTGGACATTCCTTAACTTACTAATGTATTCCTGTGGTTCCCAGAACTGAACACAGCCCTCCAGATGAGGTCTGATCACAGCAGAATTATCACCTCTTTATTCTTCTTATTCCATTATGAAAAGCAATGCCTTACTTAATGTAGCCCAAGATTGGATTTACTTTTTGGCCGTCATTGCGTAGTTGACTCATATCAAGCTTATTGTCCACTAAAGCTTTGATATTTTTTTCACTCAAACTGCTCTCTTAATCACATTCCACTCCCTGCCGATCTTGTCCCTGTAAAGACAATTTTGGAGCCCACATTTGCTCCTATTAAATTTCATCTTTCTTTGAATCATTCCTATGCTCTAGCTTGTCAAGATCTTTTTTGTATGTTAATTCTGTAATCCGGTCAATTAATAAACATTTATTAAGGGTCATCTCTGTGCTAGGTACTTTGCCAAATGACTAAATGCTGGATTAGCTATTTCTTTTAGCTTTGTGTCATCTACAAATTTGATAAGCGTACCATCTATGCTTTTAAAGAAGTCATACTTTAAAACTTAATTCTTTAGATGTCTCATTTTTAAAAATAGGCAGTATGAGGCCAAGCGTAGTCACTGGACACTCTACTAGACATTTCTTTCCAAGTTGACATACTTAGCTGATATTTTGAGTGAGTTCCACCATTTCTCAGGTCCTAGTTGATGAGAGAGGAACCAGTGACTGAGACTGATTCTTCTTTCCAAGCCTTGCCTGATATCTTGTGTCCAGTAACACCTTTTATCACCCTTTATTGAACAGCTACGTGGTGCAGTGGATAGAGTGTTGGGCCTGGAGTCAGGAAGTTGTTGTTGTTCAATCATTCAGTTGTGTCCAACTCTCCATGACCCCATATAGGGTTTTCTTGGCAGAGATACTCAAGTGGTTTGCCATTTTGTTCACCAGTGGATTATAGCAAACAGAGTGACTTGCCCAGGATCACACAGTTAGTGTCTGAGGCCAGATTTAACCCCAGATTTAAGAACTGACTCCAGGTCCAGTGTTCTATCCACTGGGCCACCTAGGCAAACAGAGGTTAAGTGACTTGCCCAGGGTTACAAAACTAATGCCTGAGGCCAGATTTGAGCTCAGGTCTTCCTGACTCCAGGCCCAGCTCTCTATCCATTGAGCCACATAAGCTGCCTCCTTGGGCAAATCACTTAACCTCTGCTTGCCTTAGTTTCCTCAACTCAAATGGAGATAATAAAACCACCTAAGTCACAGGGTTGTTGTGAGGATCAAGTGAGATAATGTTTGTAAAAAGCTTTGCATAGTGCCTGGCACATAGTGGGCTTTATATAAATACTTATTCCTTCTTCCCCCTTATTAGAGGGGAAGTGCAATATAGTGAGAAAAACACTGGACTTGCAGGCAGGAGACCTAGCTGCCCCACCCCAACACCAGGTCCTAAGATCTCTGAGGACAGAGACCACCTTTATATCCTCTGAGAGCAGAGCTCCTTGCACAAAGTAGTTGCTCAATAAATACGAAATGAATAAATGAAAAACCAGCCAGAGCAAGGGGCAGTAGGCATGTCCTATAAGATTAGTCAGGAAAGGTCAAGAGTTTGAGAAGTCAGGGATCTGAGTCAGTAAGAATGACAGTAGTAAGCAGGTAACACTGAAGATGTGTTCCCAGGGTTGTCTGCCCTTTGCAATTCATTTCTCTAAGCTTCAATTTTCCCTTCTATAAAACAGGGACCTGCCCTGCTTACTTCATCAATTTTCTGTGAACATCAAATGAAATAATACCTATAAAATGCACTATAACCACATACCCTTAACTGTAACTCACATATCAGTGTGAGTTATTATTCATCCCAGAGACAATCCAGAGCTAAGGCCCCAGGCAGTCAAGACTCACTGTGTTGTTTCTTTTTCCCACAGATAAACTTACAGAAAAAGAATTTATTGAAGGCACACTGGCTAATAAGGAAATTCTTCGACTGATCCAGTATGAGCCACAAAAAGTGAAGGAGAAGCTAAAGAATAAAAAGCTCTGATGCCAATTCTTCGGCTGCACCCCACTCCCCCATCTCGCCCATTGCTACCTCTGTTCCACAATCCCTCTCAAAAAAAATCAGAGAAAGTTCCCCTGTATCCTCATCCTCCCTTTTGGACCATCAGGTTCAGAGGTAAAGTCACCTCACCTGGACCAAACACCATCATATCTTGCTTGCTGAATCAGGCATCTTTAGTAAGTAGCAAACTCCTCTCCTGATGTATCAGCCTTTCCTGCCCCAACCCCCCACCCCTGCCCCTTAGGCTTGTCAGTGATAATCCCAGTTTTAGGACATAGAGCTCAGAGAGGCATGAAGGTCACCCTCGTGTAATCTCCTTTGGGTGTACAGTGTCAGCATGTTCCAATAAATGTGAGAGATGATGGAAACCCAGTTGGGCAGTCTGATGGTGACTTGGAAATAGAAAAGATTTCTAGCCGAGAGACTTAAAGTGACCACCGGTTTGGGACACAGGCACTTGAGACAAATAGGCTTCTGGAACAAATGAGATTCATATAAAGAAGTTTTGTTGTTTTCGTGCTATTCCTACTTTATTATCACTGATGCTAAGGGCTAGAATTGCCTGGTCTTCCTTACCACCCCACCCCATATACATATTTGAGTCTTCACAGCTGCATTCCTTAGAGAAAGTCTGGCCCATTCCACTTTAGAACTGACATTAACTAATCCCCTTTCTTTACAGATAAGAAAATTGAGGCCTAGAGATTTGCAGGAGGTAGTAAGTAGCAGAGTCAAAATGCCCAAGTCTTTTAATTCCAAATCCAGTGTTCTTTTGACCTTGGATTGCTTGGAGGTATACAGCTCACTTTAGAAGATACTTGTAATTAGATTGCACTCTCTCTCCTGTCTTGGGGAGAGGAAAGGGGAAGGAGGGGGAGAAAATCTTATGGAAATGAATGTTGAAATCTAAAAATAAATAAATAAAAGTTAAAAGTTAATTTAAAAAGAAAAGAAAATACTTGTAAATCTAGTCATCCTTATTTTGCAAGTGAGAGAATAAGGCCTAAAGTATCCTATTCAGTTTGAGGGGGACACATATTAAAAATTATGTTGATAAGTTGGAAAGCATCCAGTGAAGGAGATTCAGGATGGTGAAGGAACAGACCTTTATACCATATAAGGAGCAATTGTAGGAAGGGTGATGTTTAGACTGAAAAAGAAGAGACTTAGCAGGGACATAATAATAATAATTCTGAATTATTATTATTGCCAGCATTTGTATAGTGCTTTAAGATCTGCAAAGCACTTTGCAAATATCTCATTCTCACAACATCCCTAGGAGTTAGGTGCAACTATCACCTCCATTTTACAGATGAGGAAAAGTGAAGCAGATAGAGGTTAAATGACTTGCTCAGGGTCACAGAGGTAGGGAGTGTTTGAGGCTGATTTGAACACATCTTCCTATTCTTTAGTCCATTGTTCCAACCACTGCATCACCCAGCTGCCTACTGTCTTCAAGCCTTTCAAGAATTGTCATAGAGAAGAGGAATTAGACTTTTTCTAATCATTCCTAGAAAGCAGAACTTGGAGTGGCAGATTTTGGTCCAAAGAAAAACATTTTAATGATTTGTTTTGTTCAGTCATTTTTCTGTTGTGTCCAACTCTTTGTGTCCCCATTTGGAGTTTTCTTGGCAAGGATACTGGAATGGTTTGCCATTTCCTTCTCCAGCTCATTTTCCAGATAAGGAAACTGAGGCAAACAGGGTTAAGTGACTTGCCCAGGGACACACAGCCAGTAAGTGTCTGAGACTAGATTTGAACTTCCCGATTCCAAGCTCAGTGCTTTATCCATTGTGCCACCTGGTTGACCATGCTAATAATTACAACTATCTAATAGTGGTGTGGGTTACGTGGAAGGCAGTGGGATACTCCTTACTGGCGAGCTTCAAGAAGAAACTAGATGACCATTTGGGGGTGTACATTGCAGAGTGGAGTCTTGTTCAAGCACAGGGTGGACATGATGGCCTTTGAGGTTGCTTCATACTTTGAAATTTAGTGAAAGCATCTACCTTTTAACCCACATCTAATAACAAGTAAGGTTCAGGGTTAGAACCAAGGTCTCCAAGCCCGGTATTCTCTTTACTCCATTATGTTTGACTCAGGAGATGTCCTTGCCATTCTTGTACCATCGTCTTCTTTAACTGTAGGCATTCTGATGAGTCCTGTTTGCTATAAACTGTCGTCACCACTAACACCACCCCAAAGGGTTTTCTACTTGTAGGTGAGTCTATGCTTGTCAGTCAGGAACAGAAACAAAAAACCACAAAAATATCTGACTTCAATATGGCCCTTTACATCAAGACGTGTGAATGGCTTCTGCAGTACTATCCTCACAACAGCCCAGGGAGACAAGTGGTGAAGTACTTTTACTCACACTTTATAGGCAAGGAAACTGAGTCTCAGAAGTGAAATGACTCCCCCAGCAAAGGTTACACAGCCAGCAAATAGCAGGGCTAGAACTCTAATCCAGATCACCTCTCTCCAAGTCTCTCCACACCATTGGCAGAGATTAATGAACTAATTAACCCAGCCTGACCATACAGAGCTGTGAGGGAATGGGCTATAAAATGGGATGGTCAGGAGTTTAGCTTCAAAGGTGCAGGATAAGAAGGACTGGGAAAAACTGATTTTCTCCATCACAGTTTTGCCTAGAGTATATGATTCAAACCATAGATCATAAAAAGGTATTGGAAGAAGCATAGGAATTATCTTGTCCAATCCTATCAATGTAAAAAAATAAGGGAAAAAAAAACCCTAAGGTTTTTTTTTGTTTGGTTGTTTGGTTGTTTTTTGTTGTTGTTGTTTTTACTAGAGAAGGAAGTGACTTATCTAAAGGCACATAGCCAGTTGAAAATAGAGGCAGGCCTAGAGTAGTAAAATGGGGCCTAGATTTGCCAGGTGACCTAGATTTGAATCCTATTTCTGCTATTCACTACCTTGTTTGATCTCAGTCAGTTACCTTTCCTCTCTGAGACTCAGCTTCCTCATCTGTCAAATGAAGGGGATTGGATGTCTAAGGTTCTTTCAATTTTTAAATCCTGTGATCCCCGAATTCAGGTCCCTCAATTCCCAACCCAGACCTTTTTCCACTCTACTATGTTGCCTGCTATGAACTAACTTGGATTCTAAAGAGGCAACACTGGGGATTGGTAACTAGATGGTATAAACTTCACCGTAAACCATGAAGACTGTTAAAGACTGTTTAATAACACAGCAGGTTTAGGGATACATATAATTTAGTAGGGATGCTGGGGATTAATGCTACCTGCCAATCCAGAACTGCACAGTGACACCTGCATGCACCAGTCCTCCCAGAATAAAACACCCTTTAATGACATTAGCCTAGACACAGAAAGGACTGTGGTGAACTCTGGTCTCTTCAGTGGTCACTGGTCAGTGAGAGTGGCTGCTAAGGAGTGCTATTTCAGGTACTAGCCTGACTTTCATGGGTAAATTAGGGGCAAGCTCAGGCTGAAGGGAGACCCACATTCTAGGTTCACATAGCCTGGCCACTTGAGAGTGATAGAGGTGTTGACTGGGCCCTAGCTCAGCCCTGGGATGTCCCAGGAGAGGCAGGAATCCTCCTTCATACCCTGCTCCTCACATTTACCCCTGATATAGAGAGACAGAGAGGCCTAAATGGGAGGAGGAAGGGAAAGAGGAAATATTCTTTACTAAGGAGTGTCAGTCTTTTATTAAATCATTCCATGTTATTTCTACCTTTAATTTCTAAAAATAAAGTTTGTCACTGGAACTCATCCTCTTTATGGAACCATAGGACCACAGAGTTAAAGCTAGAAGGAATCTTAGAGGTTATTGGGTCCAACTTGCTCCTTTTACAAATGAGGAAGCTGAGACCTTGAGAAAATAAGTGACTTGTCCAGTCACATAACTAGGTTTAAGGCAGGATTTGAACCCAGATCTTCCTTATTCCAACTCAGCACTTTAATATTATTATAACACTTTCCCCTCATTCTTAATCAATACACTACTTTGATACCATTAAGTGATTCCGAAGCCCTCTCTTCCCACTCCAACTGCAATTCCTTGGACTGTCTATGCTTGCTTCCCTTTCATTTTTATCACCCCTAAATTGTTCCCATTTCCCTATGCTCAACTCTCTTGACCTTGACAGAAGTCAACAAGTCTATAAAGCCAAACCATGGGAAAATAATCACAGGTTTCATGGAATTCAGAAGATGATAGCTAAGAGGGATCTTCAAGACCACCTCATCTAATTCCCTTATTTTATATGTATAAAAATGTAAGCTTAACAAGATAAGGGAAGTGATTTTCCTAAGGTTACCAGCAGGGCTGTACTGGAGCCAGCTCAAACCAGCTCATGGGAGCCAATTCTTAAATTTTTCTGTGTGACCATTTACACCTTGAAAATAAGCAAATGTTTTCAATCACAGCTTAATTTTTTTGTTGTTGTTGATTGTTTAGATTTAAGAAAATAATGGGGCAAATGTTAATGAATGCAGAATAAAGCAGTGTCATGAATATATTTTTTCCCTTAGAGAGCCAGTTGTTACACACTTACCAGTATACCCCTGAATGGGATGTCCCAGTGAAGACTTCTCAGTGTAATTAAGGTAATGAGTTCAGAAGGTAGTGTGAGAAATGAACTCTCAGAAGTGAAGGTTCCTCAAAGGGTCAAATAATTCTTGATCACTACTTTCAAAATCCTCCCCAACTCAGACCCTGTTTTTAAGCACTTAACAGAAAGAATAAGCCCTGCCCCACCCCCAACCTGAGCTGTTTGTCCTTGGCTTTGAATTTCGAGCCTGTAATGTAAGCCCCACCTCCCAGTTAAGGGGATAGAAGAAACTCTCAGCTTAGAATGTAAGCCCCACCTCCCGGTTAAGGGGATAGGAAGAAACTTTCAAGCTTAGAATGTAAGCCCACCCCCAGTTAAGGGGGTAAGGGATAGTGGTGGGTGGAGACTTGTTCTCATGGTGGGCAGATATTTGCTTTTATAAGGAGGCGGTCTCTCTCCCTCTCCCTCTCCCTCTCCCTCTCCCTCTCCCTCTCCCTCTCCCTCTCCCTCTCCCTCTCCCTCTCCCTCTCCCTCTCCCTCTCCTCTCCCTCTCCCTCTCCCTCTCCCTCTCCCTCTCCCTCTCCCTCTCCCTCTCCCTCTCCCTCTCCCTCTCCCTCTCGTGTATCAGAGGAGCAGACAGCCATCTCAGGAGATTGTAATAGAGGTAACCTTTGCTTTCTACCTT